TGAAGGAGGTGGGTGAGAGAGGAGGGGGCGTGAGGCTGAGCCAAAGGCAGGCCCAGGCCCCAGCTCTAGGGATGCCCACAAGAGGGACAGGAGCAGTGGAAGGCCCCAGTCACACCACTTAGTGAAGGACAACTGCTTGTCCACACAGGACAATTTCCCAAGGATGTGCTTCCCAGAGGGCACTAACAGCAGCCACCTGCAGGGAAGGAAACTGGTGGCTGACGGCAGCAGCCAGGGGCTCTGGACATTAAACAAATTTGCACGCACATGGACAGATACATTGTGGCCAAGAAATAAAATCGTTCCTATTTTTAAAGTGATCTCTCAGGGACAACAGGGAAAGGACTGGGAAGAACCCAGGACAGAGGCAGGAGGCAGATCAGGAACCGAGTAAAGCAAAGAGATTCTTTAGTATTTCAAATAAAACAGCACAAACAATGACCGTGGTCAAGGCAAAGGTGAGGATCCCTTTGGAACTGACCTGACCCCACATTTCCAAACTCACTACATATGTCTCAGCTCAGCTTTGTCCAAAAACTGTGCCCTGCAGACCTGGACACATTCTGACCTCAAGAACTGGACTGTCCAGAGGAGTAGCTCATGGGTCTCCAACAGAGTCACTGCCTTCTGATGGTTCTAATACAAACTACTCATTTTTCTTTCTTTTACTCATTTGATGGTCACTTAAAAAAAAATCCTCAAAGAGATTGCATTAGACCAAAAAGAAAAAGAAATGAAAACCCAGCGTTGAACCAGAGTCCTGGTGGGTTGCGGTTGCATCTTTCTCTCCTGAACACGATTCCCTGTCTTCTTCTGTGCTCTAAATTACCAATTCTGGTCCCTGTGAAGCTAAATAATATTAATTACCATATAAATGAATATGCATATGTGTCACTTTCCCCCTAAAAGCAAGAAAGCCTGTTTGTTTTGGATGAGGGTTTGTTTTGCTTTTGAACAACCAAAGCACATAATTAGAAGCCTCACCTCTCACTCCTGTCTCCACTGGGAAGAGATGAAAAAGGTTCTGGGTGCCCCATGAAGGTTAGAAGAAATTTTAAAACAAATCGAAGGAGATATTTCTTTACTCTGCAGGTAACAATGGCTTGGACATGATCAGAATCACAGGCCTAGGAGGGACTTCTGTGCACAAGCCCGACCCACTGTTCTGCAGATGGGGGAAGGGGCTCAGGGAGCGCAGCTTCCCAGAGGAGCCCCAAGACCAGGCCCCGGCAGCAGGAACACCACTGTATTTGCACCTTGGTTCTGGGACTCCCTCTGCCGTGGTGGCCTCTGCACCTGCGAGATGTGGAGCCGCAGTGTGGCCTCCGCAGGGTTGCTGGAAGGCGGATGGAGACCTGGCCATGCAAGCTACACTCTGATCCGTGTACAGCCACGGTCTTTCTGCACAGTGGGAGGTGCACCTGCCATGGGACCTGGCAGTAGGGCCAGACCAGGCCTCCCAACAGCCCCACTGCCACCTCAATGCTGGTTGTGACAGTGAACATTACACATTAATGTCATCGACAATGAGTTATAAGACAGGTGGTCATATACGGTATAAGTAATAATACAAATCAGAGCATCATTATACTAACAGTAGATGCTACCATCATTTGGTGACAGTAGTGGCCATTGGCAAGGACTTGGGATGTGGACTCCCGGTGCTAGCTTCTGTAGCACCAGGGCAGAGAGTCGAAGCACCCTCAACTGTGGGGCCCCTGGAAAGGAGCAGCTGGGTCATCGCAGTTCCCACTGGGATCCCTGTGTCACTGGAGGTCTGGGCTTCTAAGCACCTTCAAGGGAATCTGATCTCAGCAGCAGCTCAGGAGGCTGAGGCAGGAGGATCATGAGTTCAAGGTCAGCCTTGGCAACTTAGTGAGGCCCTAAGCAACTTAGCAAGACCCTATCTGTAAATAAAATATAAAAAAAGGGTTGGTGAGGGCTGGGGTTTTGGCTCAGTGGGAGAGTGCTTGCCTAGCATGTATGAGCATTGAGCAATTCTCAGCACTGCACATAAATAAATAAAAATAAAAGTCCATTGACAACCCAAAAAAATATTTTTTAAAAAAAGGGCTGGGGATGTGGCTCAGTGTTTAAGCACCCCTGGGTCAATTCCCAGTACCCAAACAAAAGACACTCTGAAAAGGAAAGGGGGTCTTCTACAATAGGCATGGGGAGGTCCCACTGTCCTTGCTAAGCTGGAGACAGACTGTAGCACCAGCTTGACTGGACTCCTGCTTGGCAGAGCTGGTGACGGTGGTTGGTGAGTGGCTCAGGACAAGTGCTGTCTCTGGGGCCAGGAATGGCAGGATCACTCGCTGCCCATGTATCCAGAACCAGCATCAATCAAGCTGATAGTCCTGGTCCCGAAGCTCTGGGCACAATGAATCGGAAATTCTGCCTGGTGTGCACGACTGTGTCTGCTGTGCACAACTGTGTCTGCTGTGCTCTTATCATCTGGTTTTCTGGGTGCTTGGGACTAAACTCGGGGCCTGGTGCATGCTAGGTACTCTCTAATACCAAGCTAGGGCCCCCGCCCCACTGCGCTTTAAACACAGCCCCCAGCTTAAGGAGGGATTCCAGTCCCAGGCAGCTCACTTTTGTGCAGCGGAGCAACCCTGGTGGCCCTCTGGCCAGAGGCGATGAAGAGGGGAAAGCTCCGCGCTAAGGCCGGAAGGCAGATTTGGTGACTCCAGCCTGCTGCCAGGCTCCCGCGCCACCCTCCACCCGGCAAGCTCAAGGGCAGCCAGGTGAGGGCGCCAAGCACTGTGTGTGGAAAGCGCGTCCCACTTCCAATCCCAGAGGATACTACTCCCACTTTATTAATCCCAGAACATGCTCCTCCCCCTTTATTAATCCCAGAGGATGCTCCTTCCCCTTTATTACCCGACAGATGGGCACTTCCCAGATGGAAACAGGAGGCCTTTTCAAGGGTGAAGGATGAAGGGTCAAGTTTAAAGACTGTTCCCTGAGGTTGGCTGGCCTGAGTGGAGGTGGGTGAGCTGGGTTTTGGCCCCGCCTCAGTCCTCGGCCATTCTCCCAAGCTGGGATGGCCCCCGCACAGTCCCAGCTCTAGAGGGGGTCCTGGTCTTCCACAGTGGTGTCCCCATCCCCACCCTTCTCACTGTCAGCCTCACTTTGGTCTTGTGACACTGCCTCCCGCTGCTGAGGAGCCAAGGTGGACCAATGCCCCTGCTGGAGTGGACGGCCGGGAGGTGGAGCTGGCGCCAGAGTCTGGGCACCAGGGAACCCGGTGCCCCGAGGGTTCTGCAGAACTCTGCAGAAGGGAGCTGGGGCGGGAGCAGGTGGCAGAGGGGAAAGCTGGTTAAGATGCAGGTGGCCAGGCTGACCCTCCTCCACCGTCCTGGAGGCAGCAGGTGCTTCTTATCCAGGGCTGAAGAGAAAGCGCAGGGCTAGTTTATATCATGGGGACATACTGGCCAGCCATGGCCCCTGGCCAAACATGGGAGCAGTCACAGCAGTGTGCGCAGAGCAGGGCGAGTACACGCTCGCTTTCTGGCCAGAAGACCAACAGGGGGCGCCCCAGGGAACTGGAAGCTGCCGGGGAGATGCGGGGGGCTCATGGGGGGAGCCACCGTGCTAGTCCATTTTTGTTCTATTACGACAGTGGAGGTGCCCTGTCGGTCTCACAGCCTAGCACGGGCCCTGCTGAGCCCCCGCAGGTCACTGCATCTCTTCCCACCACGGGGGCAACGGGGCCCTGGAGAAAGGTCCATCTTGAAACCGAAGGCCTGGGAGGCGGGGGGCCAGGCCTGGCCCTCTCTCAACAACTAACCAGGGTCTCCGGAGAAACAGCTCGTCCCTCCCGACAGTGCCTCCACTCACCCGAGGACGCCTGCCACTTCCCGCTCAGCACCACCCCCAGATCCAGCTCCCAGCACGTGGACCTGGGGGGCAAACCACCCTGACGGAGGCCGCAGACAAGTCAAGTCGTCGGTGAACTTCTGGCCTGGCCCTGTGCTGGCGTGGCCGACCCCACCCCGAGCACACCGCCCACAAAGACCCCACAGCAGCTGTGACGAGGAAGTCCCTCCTGGCCAGGGAAGGAAAAGCAGAGACCGAGAGGCCCAAGCGACCTCAGAACCGAGAGCAGAGGGACTCTCTGGATGCTCAAGGAAGGGACCCAGGGGAGGAGGGAGTCTAAGAGAAAGAAAAACGAAAACAAGGTGAGCCCCGGCCCCAGGGACCGGGGGGACAGCACAGCCCTCCCTGGTGCCAGGAGAGGGGTGCACAGAGCCCATGGGGTTCAGCTGACAGGACTGCGGCCATCCTGGTCAGAACTACCACTTTCCCCCCAGGTGACCTGGACACGCATCCCAGGCCCTGTGGGACAGGGGCCTTAAGAGAGGCCCGGGCAGCAGACTGACTGGTGTTGGACGCCTGAGTGGCTTTTGAGAAAGCCAGGCCCGCTGCAGCTGCTGCCCGCCCTCGGCCAGCTTACTGAAGCCCCTTCCTCTTCCCTCAGGGGGTAGGGATGCCCCATCCTGCTGCCCCCCCCCCGACATTCTTCTGTCCCCAGATTTCCAGTGAGTGGCAGTGTGCAGGCTGGGACCCGCCTGCCCCTTTCTTGGTCCCAAGGCACCTTGCGGCCACTCCTCACCGGGGCCCAGTCTCTTCTGAAACAGTGCCGGGAATTATTTGAAGAAATCAAGACAACATGTAACGGCTCCCGGCTGCGGCTAGACCCTGGGTGCTGACATGTGCTGGTTGTCCTGTCTGTCCCCTCCCACCACATGCACGCTTCTGCAATTGTCCCTGCTTGGACTCTCTCCCGGGACCCTCCAACTGGGCCGGGCCTTTCCTTCAGGGGCCCTGGTGGGAGCCACCAGCCTCCAGTCCCCATGGCAAGCCACAGGGAAGGACACACCCACAGACGGCCCTCTCCTCGGGTCTGGCCATCCCTGCCCCTGGAGATGAACACGTCCCCTCCCTCTGTCCTGACAGCAGAGCCCCCAGTGGGAGCCACACAGCAGTCTCACCTTCTTGACGCAGTCCTCGTCCGTCAGGCGCTGCTGGATCAGCTTGATGAGCAGCGGGCCGGGGACGCTCTAGAGGGAAGAAGCCCGCCTGAGGGTCACGGTGAGGAAGAGCCCACGCTGGCAGCACCCAACTGCCCTCCTGCCTCAGCCGCCAGCACCTTGCCCATCCAGTGCCGTCAGCGCCCGAGGCAGCTCCGCCGGCCACCCCAGGCCCCCCAAGCCTGGCCTGCAGGGCCGCCCGCTGCCCCTTCGCCCCAGGATCTCCTTGCTGCACTGACCGCGTGGCCGTGCGTCAGCGTCCCCAGTACAGGGCAGAGCTGCAGCTCTCACTGCTCGGTGCCCTCACAGGGTGCGCAGGAAGGGGCCCAGGCTCGGGAGAAGAGCGCGTGTCTCTTCCCAGCTGCACGTTTGGTGACTGCCAGTGGCAACAGCACACTGGCCATGGGTGGTGTCCACATCACAGAGTGGTCAGGTGCTGTGGAGAAGGGCTTCCCCAGAGAAGGGCGGCTAGGTACCAGCCAACTGACCACCGTCCCAGGGCCCAGCTGACAGATGAGAGTGTGAAGCTTCAAACCCCTCGTCCGTGCTGTGAGCAGGGACGGCTGGGTTGCCCACGACCCTGTTCAAGCCGCACTGTCCTTATCCCTTTTTTAGAGAGGAGGGAGCTGGGCTGCCGGGGGGGGGGGAGTCAAGGCCTGTCCCCAGGGTGACACAGTCAAGTGGACAGGGCAGGGCTGGAAGCCAAGACGTGTAGCCAGCGCCGTCTTTGAAGCACGGCGCCCTCTGCCCGCCCACTCAGCCGGGCAGGACCAACAGGGCAGCGGGACGGGCCAGGGCAGGAAGTTGGAGCCGGCCTCCCTGGGCGCTCCCTCTTCAGCAGAGCCCAGGTCTGGGTTCACAGCTGAACTCACAAAGCCTTGGACGCCCACAGCCCACACCCTGCCCACCCCTCCCCAGAGTCCCCTCTGCCCAAGGTCCCTGAGAGCTGGCGCATCTCCCAGGCCCCACACAGGAGCCTCCAGGCCAGCCCAGCCCACACCCCCAGCTACATGGGGCCACCCTGTCCCCAGGTGCTGCAGAGGCCCACGGGCGCCTGGCTGAGGTGCAGGCAGAGCTGCCTCGTGCCCTTTCCACTAAGCCGGGGACGGTGCTCAGCTCGCAGAGGAGCGGGTACCCAGCTTCCAGTGTCCCCAGGCTCTGGCCCTCGGGCAGCACTGACATGATGCGGGAGGAGAGGCCGGGCCTTTAACTTGAGAAGCCATGTGTAAGGGGGTCACAGTGACCAGGTCCTGCCCCCAGGTGCTGTGAAAAGCACCTCAGGGGACAGATCTGGCATGTCCCAGGGCTCCTCGAGCAGGCTGTGACACAGAAATGGTGCCGCTAAGGGTACGCGCCCATGGCAGCCTCTGTGCGTGCTTTGTGCAGTGGGGAGCAGGCCTCCCACCTGAGGCGCACCTCGTCCCGCCCCAGCGAGGGGACAGGCCGGGCTGGGCTCACGCTGGCACAGATGAAGGCGAGCCCTGGACAGAGGGGGCACCTGCGCGCGCACAGCAGGGGAGGCGGGCGGGGCTGCCCACTCCTGGGGCACAGGTTCCCGACAAGAGCAGGCTGGACGGGGACACCTGAGGGTGGAGCCGGAGCAGCCACTCTGCAGGCATGAGGGCTGTGAGGGAATGAAGAAAAAGAGAGAATCCAGGCAGCCCCCGAGCAGCTTCTCCAGGGTGTGGAGTTGGGGGAAAAAAAGAAGAGCAGACAATAAGAGCACGAGGGAGGGAGCACCTCGCCTGGGAATAGGGTCTGCAATGTGTTCGCCTGAAAGTCGGGGGCCACCAGGTCTCTATGAAGCGGACAGAGAAGCCCACCTGAAAGCAGAGGCAGGGGACTGACATGGGTGGGGAGGAAGGGGCGGAGCGGGGGCAGCCTGCAGCAGGCCCTTCTGCACCCTTCCCTGAGACCTGGGTCCCATGACATTTCAGCCCCGGCCCCCACACTGTGCCCCGACCTCTGGTGCAAGCCGGTGGCCCTGCGCCACGCCCGGCCTGCGGTCTGCTCTGCCGTGGGGCACTAGGCCCTGCTCTCCCCACAGGCCTTCAAGGAGGCAGTGGTGGGGGACGGCACCTGGAGAAAGGCGCAAGCCCAGGGAGGGTCGAGGGACAAGGAGGTGTCTTCTGCTGGTGTCCAGGGAAGCCCCCCAAGACTGGGGGCCGCAGGGCTCCCCCGCCCCAGGAGAGCTGGTTCCATCCTGGGGCTGTCTTCCTCCTGACAGCACCCGCTCAGGAGGCGTGTTCCAACACGGACGGGGACGCGGGACGCCAGTCAGGGCGCAGGAGGGTGCCAGCGGAGGACGGGGTTGAAAGGCGGCAGGTGGGGTGGGGCGCGGCACCCCTGCAGGCTGCACCGCAGGGGACAGGCCGCAGCTTTGAGCAAGGCCGTCCAGGCCCCCACGTCCCTGCCACTCTGCTGTCTCCGTGCCAGCTTTGATGTGTCGCGTCAGCAGCGGGGCTTTCGGGCTCTCCCTGAAGCCCTGCCAACCGTCTCCTCAGAGTCGGGCTCCTCCTTCCTGAGCTCTGTGGCTCCCCCCAACCCCAGAGCCTGGCTTTCAGGGAAGAAGGAGGGACAAGTGGACAGAGCCTGGTGAAGCCACCCCTGGTCACAGGAGTGCCCCTGGCCTCTGGGCTCCCTGCTGCCCACAGACCTTCTCCCGGCCACAGGGCTAGCTCTGGGGCTCCTGGGCAGAGGCGCTCCCAGAGGCACCGGGTAAGCGCTGCCCCACGGCCACTGGCTTTTCCTGGACTGGCTTCTTCACACTGTGCTGACACAGCGGCTGCCTAACACCAGCCCTGTCCCTGGGTCACCACGGGGCGTGGCGTTTGCTCAGGGGTGACGTGGGCCAGCTGGGGTGCCGGTCTCTGTCCCCGCTCCCTGCCAGGCTCCTGCGGGGAGGTTCCTGAGCTCCCCGGGGAGCCTCGGAGACTTCCTCAGAGACCCCTCACTGCAAAGTCTGCGCTGCCAGATCAGGGGGATGGCAGGACCTGTCCCCTAGAATCTGGGAGACCTCAGGGACAGGGGGTGAGAAGTCGAGGGGACAGAAGAGGCTCTGAAGGAAGACAACAGAGGCCAGAGCGGCACCGCGGGGCCCACCGGATGGGGAGAGGTGTGGCCCCAGGAGCACAGAGCTGTCCTCAGGTCACCTGCTGCCACCCTCCTCCACCCCAGCCTCCACCAGGCCTGTCTCTCTCCAGCGCCCAGTGCCTGGAGGGAGGGAGGGAGGACGGGAGAGGGGAACCAGGGCCCACCTCGGCTCGGCCTCCAGGAGGGAGGAGCAGGCCGGCTGGAGACGGGTGCCAGCAGCCAGAGGGCAGCACAGGACTCCGCAGCGAGAGCCGGTGGCCTGTTTCCCGGAACTGCTCAGCACTCTTGGGAGGACTGAGCCTTGTGTGTGCACAGAGGCAGGGCGAAGGCTTTGCTTGGCACATGGCACATGGCCCCAGGGTACCCTGCCCTCCAAGCCTGTACCCTCCTCCACCCCAGCCGGGGCCTAGCGCTTAGTAGGTAGTCCAGCATTAGTCTAGATGTATTAGCCAACCAGCTGCCACCGACTGACTGGTGGAGAGAAGGCCTGCGGGCGCCCGGGCCCTGGCTTGTGCTTAGTGTGGCGCTGCTGGCCTCCAGGGAGGCCGGCCTCTGCGGGGGGCAGGAGGAGTTCATCTTCCCAGCACTGAGAGGGCAGGGAGGCAGCAGCCCAGGGGCCAGCCGTGAGAGAGCTCACCAGGAGGCAGAGCCAGGAAGGCAGGGGAGAGGGGGCTTGGCAAATGGAGCTGAGCCTTAAAAGACTCAAGTCAGCAGCCAGTTTGACGGGGACTTTCATGGGCGGCCTGCCTGGGCGGCCCTCCCTCCGCAGCAAGGGGGCGGCCACGACCTTGGCTTTCATCTTCCCCCCAACAAGACATCCCAGGAAGCACTGGATGAGGTCTGAAATGGGCTGGTAATTAGCATAACGAAGCCCGGGAGGAATTTCCTGAACTTCCTCCTCCTGGCTGAATTCTTGAACCCAATCTGGAATCTTCAGCCTAGAGATGAGCTGCCTCCCCAACACGGAAAGCAGGCACTGGGGAGCCATGTTCCCAAACCCTACTCCTACCCCCTAGAGTAGGTATTCCCAAAGCGTGACCACAGCTCTGTCCCCAAGACTGTGGGGGCTCTGGGGGGACAGTGACTCACTGCAGGTGACCGACCTCCCTGAGTGAGGTCTTCCTGTCCTCCCATCAAGCTGCTGTCCAGGCCACCCGAGCCCGGGATCTGCCTGCACCACCCCTCATCTCCGAGCACAGCCCTCCCCCACCTGAGGGCTGCGTCAGGGCCTCCCGGAGCCCTCTCCCCCACCTGCCACAGCCGACTGCTCCTGGCACACCTGACCAGCCGGCTCAGGCAGAGCGCTCTCCTGAGAATGGGGCCTCAGCACTGCCTCTGGGGGCAGTGTGACCAGAAGACACAGGACCTGGGACAGAGGGGTGGTCACAGTGGTAAGAGCACGGGCAGGAGAGAGAGGCAGGGGGAGGAGGGACTGCAGAGAATGGGGTGAGAGAGGACGCGCCCCAAAGAGGCTGAGAGAAGCCCAGTGTGATCCCTGGCTGCTGAGCCACGTCCCACGAGTCAGCGTCCCCTTTCAGGTCCACCTTCTGCTCTGAGCAGCCTGGGTGCATTCCTGCCACCTGCAGCCAGGGACTGGTCAGGAGAGTTGTCCTGCACTCACTGGTGGCCCCCCGAGGCCTGGAAACCACTTCCAAGTTCTTGGAGGATCAGGGGCCACAGGTACTCGTGGTAGGGACTTGTCATTGGATGAAGACAGACACAGGGAGACTAGAGGTCTCTCCTGCTGGGGGTCAGGCCTGGACAGAGCTGAACTGACCACAAGGCAGGAGGAACCTGTTGGACCCAGGGAAGGTGGACCCAGAGCCCCACCCCCATGGTGCCCTCAACTCTCCACTTCTGTCAGATTCCTGGCAACCGTCTTCATCTGCTACTCAACCTGAAGGACACTGTGGACACCAGTGTCCTTTAATGTGGCGCCTGACTGAAGTTTGCAAGTTTGGCTTGAAAGTGCCGTCGACCATCACATGTGCTTCTGTCTCAGGTGTGAGGTCACAGCTGGCTGGGTCTGGCTGGTCAAGTGCTCCTGAGTCCAATTTTAAGCCATGGAAGGGCCGAGGGGTCCAGTAGTGGCCTCAGTCTGCAGGCAGACCAGGAGGCCAAGGGAAGGCCTGGAGAGCCCAGCACACACTGAGCGCCCCGAAACCCCAGGCTGCTCTCCCTCCTCACCGTGCCCCCACAAACAGGAGAAGAGTCTCGGGGAGAAGCGCCCAGACGGCAGGTCCCGCCTCAGGCTCAGACAGACTGAGTCTCTGTTTGAATTAAAGAGAGACAACTCCTCATCCCTGAGGTTCCCTTTAAAAGACGTCCGCAAACATGAGGCTGGTGGGGTGGTGCTTGGAAACAGCACATCTAGTCCTCATGCATGCGCCCACAGTGGCCATGAAAGGGACAGACTAGATGGGAGCTGCCCGGCCCTGAGGGTGGACACTGTGCCAGGGGAAATGCCCCTCAGGGCCAGCTCTGGGGCCTTCCATCAGCTGGAGGGGCTGACACCCTTCCAACCCACAGCTGAGCTCAGCCCTGGGTGACCCTGTGTAGGCCACCAGGTCCACCATTTGCAGGATGGAGACCACTAAGCAGCAAAGGAGCCAGCCCGGCCCCTCCTCACTTCAAATGCCCCTCCCGGCCGGCAGGCCGCCCCTCCTCAGCACAGCTCGCGGGGTCTCACTTCACCCCAGCCTCCCGCCCGCCAACCCAAAGGAAATGGAGCCTCCCAGGCAGGCAGAGGGGCGGGGGTCGGGGCGCGGGAAGGCTGCCACCTGCCCAGCCCCCCAGCCAGGCCAGTCCTACCTTGGATTTCTGGTAATGCTTCCTGGCTTCCTCAGCCACAGAGGAAGATTTTCTTTCTATCAAGTTGTCGCTGGTGAGGAGATTGCTGCTCAGGTGTTTGCAGAGCCACATTGCCTGAGGGAAGGGGAGCCCAGCGAGGGCACCAAGAGTCACGCCACGCCGTGCCCAGGCCCCTCTATGGTGGACCGAAAAGGCCGCCGGGGGAGGCGTCAGTATTTGTGGCTGGAGGGAGACCCCACGGGAAGGCCAACCCGCAAAGTCCCTCCAGCCTGATTTCTGCCTGTCGGCACCTGCTCCGCCAGCCCCAGGCTCTGGGGAGGCCAGGAACCTCCCAGTGGGGGGCCTCCTGCCCTGGGCCTCCCTGCCCTGGGCCTCCCTGCCCTGGGCCTGCCTTTCCAAGCTCTGTGGACCACAGGTTTTTAATTCAAGGAAGGGTTAGGCCAGGAAAGGTGGAGACAGAAATATGGTCACAAGCCACACTCATTCATTTCTTTCTTAAACTTGGGGCATCAGTGAACTGACTTTAGTTCGTTGATGACTGCCGTGTGTAGTCTACCAGAGGGGACACGTTTACGGCCTAACAAGGCAGTGAAATGTTCTTAGCTGGTGGCCATTTCAGCACCTGGGCTGTGTGGACCTTAACTCTCCCTGCTCCTCCTGCTACAGGATGCGTCAGGGACAACAGTGGGAAGGGCCCTGTCTGGGTCTTACGCTGGAAACTCCAAGTCTGCGTCCCCACACAGGCTCAGGGTGAGCGTGGTGAGTTCACCATGAGGTGTGAGCTTCAATACCAGCTTCCAGCTTCCAGAACCTGCTTCTTCAGGGGACAAACTCGATGACCTCAGCCTTGCAGGGACCTGACAAAGGAAGGTCTCTGTGCTGTAGGCTGCTCTGACCCGCAAGTCCCTCCTAGTGATCAGAGAAGAGCCTGAGCAAGGCAAAGATGGCCCTGACGGTAGCAGAACAAAAGCCCTTTCCCAAAGGGAGACCCGCCCCTGAGCTTCTAGACCCTCCTTGACCACCTAGCTCAGTAAATAGGTGCCATGTCTGTCTAATGCAGACGTCATTCAAGGTCCCTGTGTCACAATCTGCCAAGGGAGCCTTTCCAACTGGTTTTCTGAGCCCTGTCCTGGGAGATTCTGATGAGTTCGATCTGTAGAGAAGCCCAGGAACTGGCATTTTTCAAAGCACCCTGGTAATGCTAACGACCCATGGGCCTGGAAGCCCCCAGTTTCTAAAGCAAAACAGCGAGAGAGGCTGGGTTCTGGGGAGCTGGCTGTGGACAGGAGCGCAGCTGGCAGCCCCAGGCTGAGGAGTCCGAGACAGACAGAGGGAAGTTGACAGGTGGACAGAAGCATCAGCTACACAACTCCAAAGGCACAGCAGATGCAGGGTGCTCTGTGTAAGGAGCCAGCTCGGTTCCTTTTAGGAATAAAGATGCCAGTTAATTGGGAACAGGCTGCCCCATGACTCTAGTCCACAAGGAGTGTGCAGAGCAGTGACTTGGTCACTGGGGAAGGCTCGCTGTTGTCCGCCAACAAGATTTTAGAAGGCAGAAAGACTCAAATTTTGACATGTTGGTGGCACTTAAAAAAAGGAGCCAGGCATAATGGTGTATGCCTGTATAATCCTAGCAGCTTGGGAGGCTGAGGCAGGGGGATCACGAGTTCAAAGCCAGCCTCAGCAACGGCGAGGCACTAAGCAACTCAGTGAGACCCTGTCTCTAAATAAAATACAAAATAGGGCTGGGGATGTGGCTCAGGGGTCGAGTGCTCCTGAGTTCAATCCCCATAGCAGCTCCAGGTCAGCCTTTGCCTTGGGGGAGGAGTCACAGAGGAGTGAGGAGGGCTGAGCTGTTTCCTGCATCTTCAAAGCACAGTCTCCTTAAAATGGAGAGAGACCAAAGAAAAGAGCAAAATGATAAGCATGGGTAAGATCTGGGAGTCAGGCACATGAATAACTATAATCTAGTTTTGTGCTTTTCTGATTATTCAAAATATTTCATAATCAAAATTTTAAGGCTGAATCTTAAGACCAAACACTCTAGCTTCTTGGGATGTCTCCTAGGCTCCAGTTAAGGGTGTGCAAAGGTAGCACTCAAGGAGCTGGGGTGGTGGGTCAATGGTGGAGCGCTTGCCTCACATATGTGAGGCCCTGGGTTCCATCCTCAGCACCACATAAAGATAAATAAATAAAATAAAGATATTGTGTCCACCTACAACTAAAAATATTTTTAAAATAAAAAGATCCCATTCATGTAGGCATGACAAGACTCCAGAAGGTGCATCCCCAATGTTGAAGTCTCTTGTCTCTGGGTGAAGGGGAAGGGTATTTTTGGTTTTTCTAGGTTTTCTACCAGGATCACACATAGGCTTGGTAACAAGGAAACAAGAAGGAAGAGAGGCAAAGAAGAGGAACGGCCCTGCTCTGCTGACAGCTCACTGAGGTCTGGGCTCCCTCCTGCTGGAGCACAAATGAGCGATCACGGCGCCCCAACATTTAATATGATACACTTACGATAGTTGTTTTCCCCGAGGCGGGCGGACCTAATATCACAATCTTCGGCACTGTGGAATAAAAAGACCTGAATGTCACCGCTCAGGAAGACAAGCAGCCTCCCATGCCCACGGTGTGCTGGGTGTATTTATCTCTCTCCTCCCCAGATTTCATTTCTGCCGGTGACACAGCCATTTGTAACCCGGTGGCTCAGAGACGCTCGCACCATAGAACATATTCTCTGTGTTTAGAGAGGTAAGTGATCACTGAGATGGTTTATTTTTCTATCTCCATGGGGACGTGGACACAGCAACTTGTTTGCCAAACTAATAAATATCAAGAACAATTGGGATTTCAAACACCATAAAGCATTTTAAACAGGGACTTTGTCTCAGGGACACTCTCTCAAAGTTGTATTTTATGTAAATCGACCTTCAAAGCTCTTTTTATATTTATGCCTTTTTACTTAGCAAATTGTATTCCCGTCATTTCATAGAGGAAAATAATGGAAAAAAGCCTGGGCCAGATTTATAAAACCTGAGACGGGAAAGTCTTTGTTTTCAAATATGAGCATTTCTATGCAAATGGAAGACACTGGCAGCTCATGTGTCACCACAGCCCTGCCTCTGGAATGTTCTTGGCCCCGCAGGATTCCCGAAGCGGTTCCCACATGGGGAGCATGTGCTGAAGATCATGCGCGAAGACCACCATTGGGGGGAGCAGCAGGCATGTGCGTGGGGTCAAGCTGCGGAAACAGCACGCTGTGTCTGCACAGACAAACCTGCAGTGGCCTCTTTTGAGCGCCATCTTGGTTACATGGCCTCCCCTCACTTGTGGGAAGGGAGTCATCTTATCAGGCCCTGCTTGCGTGGGCACAGGTCACTGTCTGCACAGAGAGCCCATTCCTGCCAGGCCAGCAGGAAGGAACCTCAACCATGCAGAGGGATGTGTATGACCTACTTTGGGGACAGACAGTGAAGGAGCCAGGTGCTGTCCTCTTGGACAGCAATTTAATAGTCAGCACTACCATGCCCTGCCAGGCTGCTTGGCCTTAAACAGAGTTTTGCCCAAATTCACACAGCACTTTCATTTTCAGGGAAAACGTGGCAAGTTCAAGGCGATTCACTGACCCCCGGCACAAGCTCCAGAGCACTCTTCACGCTGGCTGGAGGCTGCTGAGAAGAGCAAGCTGGATGGCTCCAGGTGGCCAGTCAGCTGGGCACGGGGCTGACCTGCAGCCTATGGTCTCTGGTCTCCAGCAAGGGAAGTGCTCTCTCCCCAGCTCATGGCTTTCTGCTGCCACTTGGCTTTTACGGGTCCCTAACAAACTGCTGTAACCCCCTGAGTTCTCTACGACTCTGTTTATAAAGCTGCCTGCCAGGCCCTGATGTTGGAATGGAGGTGACTGCTTCTCAAAGCCCACAGCCCTTCCTGCTGGTGGCAGTGTGAACGAGGGGCATGGGAGGCAGGCACAGGGCAGCCCGAGTACCTCCTCCAGCCTGGCCCTTGCCCAGGAGTACTGGGTGCCAGGAGTACTCAGCAAACCGCCGCAGACACTTTTCTTTCCAAGTCAGGTTGGGCTGGAGCACTTCCTGCCCAGACTGCTGCCAATAGGCTTCTGGCCAAAAGTCCCTGTGTGCCTTTAGTGCCCCTGGATCCTCAGAGGCAGGTCCTCCAGAAGGGTGGCCCTGCCATCCAGAGCCTCATCTAGCTGGGGTAAAGAATCAGTCCCTCCTTGAGCTGGGGCCTCTGGGCCTTTCTCGTTCTTCCTCTAGATGTCCCTTCATACTCCTGTCTTGTCACTTGTCACTGCCCTATCAGGAATGTCCTCCTTACTCCTGCTGTCTCCTCCTCTCATCTTGGGTCTCCTGTCGGGGCTCTCGACCACGTGGCATGCAGGGCCACCTCCACCTTGGAGAGCTTCATCCCACAGCAGAAACACCATGGCCCTGGGGGCGGGTACCAAGGCTCATCCCTTTTGCCACCCCCACTGCAGCACCCATGGGGGCCCCCTTGGCTGGCTGGCTGTGATCACCAAGTATCCACCACCCTTGTCACCACCATTACTGCCATCTGACAAAGAGCTCCCTCTCCAGCCTGCATTCTTGGAATGAGTCAAGCAGAAAAGGGGTTTAGTCAAAGACCAATGTGGCTGGGAGAGTCCCGCACAGGCTGGGAGCAGGCCCAGGGCTGCCCGCTAACTAAGGCCACCAAGTGTCCAGGGGTACAAGCATGGCTGGGCAAGGCACCACACACTGCAGCTTGTGCCCATGACACTCTGACGTGGGTAGGCAAGCCACAGGCTCCACTCTGCCACTGCTGCCCAGGAACCAGGCCTGGTGGAGACACCAGGGAGAGGCTCATGCGACCAGGGCAGCTGAGGCCACAGGCCCAGGCCTCAGCCATCACAGAAGCGCAGAAGGCCTTCCAGCATCTGAGGTGGGGGCCAGGACAGGGACTCGGGGGCCCATTCTCTGGCCCTTGCAGGGCCCTCACCCTGGGTGAGAAAGCCTCGACAGAGGGGAACACACTTGAGGGTCTGGTTAGAAATGAGGTGGCTTTGGGGTTACCTAGTCAGGTGAGACTGGAGCTGGGGTACCATGGATGGCTTGCAGAGAGGGACAGCAGGGAGATGGCCAAAGGCAGGAGGCCTCATGCCATGAAGTGAAGCCTTGCTCAGGCCAGGAGGGTGCTGGCTTGACCCTGGGGCCACAGAGTGTGCCCAGTGCCCTAAAGGGGCTCCCAGCACAGGCTCTGCTGTGCCCCAGAACACCGGCCAGACCAGGCTGGGCTCAGGGCTGGTGGCGCCTGAGAGGAAGGGCAGTGCATGGCACCAAGGGCATTCTGGGACCAGTCCAAATCCCACGTGCTGCATTTGTTCTGGCAAAGTTCCTGGGCCCATGACACCAGGGGACCCCCCGCCGGGTTTCTATAAGTGGCTCCCAAATTGTACACATCTATAAAAATGCTTTAACAGGGGAACGTGCGCGGCCTTTCCCCCACCTAATTTCTCACACTCATTTATGTGATTAATTTCAGTTCTTAAAATCTAACACCTTGAAGCTCCAGCCTGCTCATAAGTAATTATTTATAAACAGTGTCATAAAAGGCTGCTTGACTGCCAAGAGTAATCAACTTCCTCCAACCACTTCAAAGGAAATCAAAGAACCTTTCCATCCACAGAGCCTTTTGAGGTTTAACTAGGAGCATGATTTAAAATTCACAGGAACCCCTTAGGTATTGAGCTTAATACACAGCTTTCCTGGACAAACGTTTGATAGGAGACGAAACACACCATTACCTTCACCAGCGCCGGCTCTAATATTGCCCAGGGCCACTGTAAATGCTCACTTTGTACTAAATCTGCTCTTCTCGTGGTGAAGGGGCTGCCAGCCCTGCTGTGGCTCCCTCCCCACCCTCCTGCACGCTGGCTCTCGGGCAGAGTGAGTCCAGAGCTGCGCTCCGCTGCCCCAGCCGTGGCCAGTGTTGCCTGTGTTCAAGTTGACCTTGCGGCCGGCACCAGAGGGTTGAGGGCCTGGCTCCAGTTAACTCAGGCCACCGTGTGGCTAGAAGGAGACATGCGGATCCCATAACTACCCAGGACACTGGAAATATTTGTTGGGTGTCACATGACCTCACCCAGCCCCAGCAGTCTTCTAGAACACAATAAGATTGGCTTGAACTGGCTCCAGGCAACTCCTAGAAAAGCCACAAAAGCAATTTGTGCCCCACCCTCCCTAGAACAGTGTGGTAAACTATTCTATGAAGGCTCCAGAGTATTTTTAATCTATGGTAATTTCCCCACATAACTGAAAACAAAAAATGAAAATTTAAAAATTGGCATTTTTTACTTTTGATAGGTTAGGGGTAGCATCTTTTGATCCTATATAATTGAATCTACCTTTTGTTTTTCAATAATTTGAACTAGACAGGTGGACATAGGCTGTGCTTCACCTGTGAGGGGGCCAGAGCAAGGGGAGGGAAGCCTGTGGACAGAATGTCCCCACATCCACAAAAGCTGACAGTCCAAGGCCTGGGAGTGGGGTGCAAGGCTGAGGGAACAAAACTACCAGGACCCTGACCACACCTGGGAGCCCTTGGGCTGGAAAGCTTTGGGGGTGGACGGACGGCACCCGTGGCTGGGAGCTAAGGAGCGGGTGTGGATTCTTCTCCCTGCCTGAGAGCGAAGGCAAACAGGAGGCAGGAGCAGCTCCGCCGAGGGCAGCCTTTGGAAAGGCAGGAGCCCGGCAATGAGGGGGTGACAAGGGGGCCGTCCTAAAGAGAGGAGGTGGCTGTCCAGCCAACACCAGCTGCATCCAAACCAGAATGATATTGGGACTTCAAAATCCTGATGCACTGGGCAGTGTGACACCAAAACAAATCCCCAGGCAGAGCAGCAAGGTGGGAACGTGAGGAGAAGGTGGCTTCAGGGTCAGACTCTCAAGCTCCTAGGCCAGGGCCCAGTGAAGCCTGGAGGTCAGTGGCTTCAGCACACAGAGCAGGGCCTGCAGGCGCCTGGCAGGAGAGGTAGGAAGTGCCAGCACAACCCCAGGCCTTTGTCACCAAGCACAGCTTTTAATTTACAAAAATCTCATTAAGCTCTTCACCAACAAAAAGCTGAACATCACAACTGCCAAGCCCCTGTCCCCCACAGGGGCAAGTGGGCTTGTCATCCCCCCGGCCGTCACTGGCCACCAAGGAATAGGCCAGGCTTCATGGCCCCGCTTGCAGAGAGGGAGACTGGCACCAAGCCTGGGCAAGGACCCCACTGTCACTTCCTACTCTGGAGACAGTGACCTTCTAGGGTGGGTGGGGCTGTGGAGGCTCCCTGCCTCCTGGGCTGCACTTGGGCCCTCTCTTGCCTCAGCCTGGCCGCCGCTTCCCTTCCCCTTTGAGTTTCACTTTGCTTTTACTCCCACCTTGGTCTGCCTCCTGACTTCACTGTCCCTCTGCCTCCTTTGCCACTGCTGGTGGTGGCCCAGGACAGCAGTGCTGCCAGCGGCCCTGGAGTAACAGGCGGAGCTCAGCCAGGCAGCCCCAGCTCTGCCTCAGGGTTGGGAAGAGGAAGCAGAAATTTTCCCTCTGAAAACGAGGAGGAGCCTCCCACCCCACATGACAACCCACAGGGAACAGGCCTCTCAGGAGAGTCGCTGTAGGGCACAGTGAGCCAGGTCTGGCCAGTGAGGCTGCGGGGAAGACTGGTGGGCGGCCCCCAACATGGCTCTGCCTCCACCTGGGCATATGGGCGCTCATCAACCCCAGCTGGTGAGCCAATGCCCAGCCACCCGTGCCCACCTGCAAACTCAGAAAAGGGCACTGATGGGGCTTTCTTTGAACCCAGGGCAGGGATCTACGCAATGGCATGGGGTCCAAGAAGCACGTTCCTCTGATGCGCCACAGCCCAGCCTGAGACCATGGGTCACTGCAGTGTCATGAGCCCCCTTCCTCCTCCAATAACCTGTGCTGCTCCTCACCTGAGGCTGTCTGAGACCCACCTCAGGCACCTCAGGCCTTGTCCCTTTCAGCCACACCAGTACTGACTCCTTAAAGCAGCCATGAGTTATCAAAGTTATCAAAGAGTTATCAAAGAGTTATCAAAGAGTTATCAAAGCTCCAATACGCTGGTTTTCCCTGACAGCTCAATCCTCCACCTGGCAAATCGGCCCAAGGCACCTTGGAGTGAGGGGTCTGCTTGCTCCAGGGCCTCCCTGGCCCCTCCTCCTGGTTCTGCACTCTGGCCTTGGGTCTGGCTGACCTGCACCTGGCCAAGGCTTGGGGAGCTCTGGAATTCATTAGCTGGCACCGATAATGAGACCATCTGAAAAGCCCAGTGCTCGAATGTCTAGGTAGACCAGAAACCAAACGCACCTGACAAGAGGACTGATCAGAGAGCTTAAACCCAACAGGCGACATCAGCTAGGGCAGGCGGAGGCATTAATAATTGATTCTGTGGGCCATTCTGAGGTTTGCATTTTAATAACTTGGCAAGAGAATTTTTATTAGTTGCGTTCCAAAAGAAATGAAGGCATTTTTCAATTAACCACCTCAAGTTGTCAAAGCTCCTCCTCCCCCTGCTCCAACTCCTTTCAAACACAAGTAGGACAGAGTGGCTCCTCTTATGGCCAGGGTCGGGCAGGGGCTCTGAAGGAGCAGGGGCCTGCACACTGAGTGCTCACCATTATCATTGTCGCGCTGTAAGTGCTTGATCAGGAAGGAGATGGGGTCCTCAGGCTGGTAGACCAGGAGCTGCTCCAGCATGGTCTGTGGGCACAGGGCAGACAGAAGCACTCAGCACCCACAGGGGCCCTGGCTGCCACAGCTACCAGACATGGGCCTTCTTTCTCCATTGCACCCTGCCAAACAGGCCTTCAAACTGGGACCTAGCCCTGCCCCATCTGGCATCTGCTGGAGTCCCCATGAGCAGAGGCATGAGGGGGGGAAGGTGTTGTGGGGGGGGCACCTGGAGGGACAGCACCCTGACTCAGAGCAGGCTGTCCCAGGGCCTTCTCCCCTGGTTCCCTTTGTACTTCCCATCAAGCCTCCTCCCAGTTCTCCTCAGGCACTCCACTGTCAGCATCTCCAGAGTCTTAGCAGAGCTATTTCCTAGCCTGGAAGGCTTCTTCCTCATTCTTGTCCTAGTCACCTTCTACTGGGTCCTCAGATTTCAACGGGAACATACCTTTCTGATCATATGCACTAGGTAACCACAACTGTCCCATGCTCCGGCACACCTGCCCTTGCCTCACCTTGTCCCTGCCTGCCTGATCATCCCCCCAGCAGGCCATGGGTTCTGTTGATCTGTCTGTGTGATCCCCAGGGCCCGTCACAATCCCAGTAGGTGCCCAGCACATTTGTTTATGGGGACAGTTAACCACCTGGGTTGCTACTACCTGGGTCCTTCCAGAGGGGGCAGAATAGTTATCACCCAAGTATGGAAACAATCCTCAGAAACTCTGGCCATTTAATCCATTTGAACAAACATGTTAAGGGCAAGCAGCTGCCAGGGCTTTTGAACAAATGGCACAGAAATGAACTGCTGGCTGATATGAGTGAGGCTGGTGGGACGAGGAGGAAGGGGCTTCAGTCCTGAAGGCAGAGGAGGTGTGGAGCAGTAAAAGGAACACCAACGTGTGACACAAGTCCTGGTCCCAGCCCCACTCCAAGTCTCACCGGCAAGTCCCTTCCCTCCTCTGAGCTCAGCTCCTCCACCTTTTCAATGGAACAGGTGGACTAAATCCATGTTTGCCTGTCACTGGCTGCACTGAGAGGATTTTAGACAGTTTGCTCATGATGATGTGGTTGCATATTTAATGTGTATAAGAAAAAATAAATACATCAAATCTATAATTTCAAGGATTTTGCTTAAGATGAGGCAAAAGGAGTTAACCTTTAAAAGTAAGTTGATTTCAAGAAATGATTTGGGGGTTGGGGATGTGGCTCAAGCAGTAGTGCGCTCGCCTGGCATGCGTGTGGCCCAGGTTCGATCCTCAGCACCACATACAAAGATGTTGTGTCCGCCGAAAACTAAAAAATAAATTTAAAAAAAATCTCTCTCTCTTTAAAAAAAAAAAAAAGAAATGATTTGGTTAAAACAGGGCGACGTGGTAGTTATGTGAATCTATACATCTCACAAATTTCAGATTCACATCCAAACCAAGCCTGTAGTATGATGCCCCACATCAGTTTTCAGATTTTGACAAGGTACTCGTGCTGTGTTCCATGTCGTCACTGGGGGAACCTGGGCGAGGCTAGATCAGAATTCCACACTGTTTGTGGGATTGAACCCAGGAGTGATGTCTGTGAGCTAGACCCAGCCCTTTTGAAAAGGTTACTTTGAGCAAGGTCTCAGTTGCTCACGCTGGCCTGGAACTTTTGATACTCCTGCCTCAGCCATCCAAGAAGCAGGGATTACAGAGGTGTGTGCCACTGGTACCTGAAATCCATATTATTTTTGTGACTTTCCGAGTCAGAAATTATTCTAAAATTAAAAATATTAAATGAAATGGTCAAAACTCTGGCGGAAACATCCAAGCAGGGAAGGACTGGAAAGAGGCAGCGGAAAGCCCTCCTGGGTGGCCCCCCGGCAGGGCGCCAAGACCCGGGACCCTGCGCCGCCCGACGCGCCGCCCCGCTCGGTGACCGCGCGAGCCCCGCAGGCTCCGCGGGGGGCTCGGCTGCTGGAGGCGGGCTGCAGCCGGGCTGGCTCTGCGGCGTGCAGGCCCGAGGCTGCGCCCGAGGGCGCGGGCGGCGGGGACGCTGCGGGGCCCGCGGAGGGGTCACCTGCATCAGTTCGAAGACGTGTTTCTCCTCCCCGTACTGGGGCATTTCCGGGGGGATGAGATGCGGGGCCGAGGTAGCGTCCATGTCGCGCGGCGCGCGCTGCCTAGCAACTGGCAGCCAGGGCGCCGCCGGCTGCGTCATCAGAGCGCGCCGCGCCCCGCCCCCGCCCCTCGCGGGGCCTCAGGTGGCCCGACGACAGCCCAGTCGCCCCGCTGCCGCCCCCGCCCGCCCGGCCCGCTGCCGGCTCCCCGCTCCCGGCCTCCGCCTCCCCGTCTGCAGCGTGGCGCAGGCGTTCCAGACGGGAGGGCGCCCTCGCGGCGGTCCGCGACCCAGCGGACCCCCGACCCCGGCGCGGCCCGGCGGCCACGTGACCCGAGCGCGGCCCCGCGGTCACAATCGCCCCGCGGCCCGCCCCCGCCGGCGCCCACCCCGCCCACTCCAGCCTCCCGAGTCCTAAGCAGGGCCTCCCCGCCCTCCGGGGCCCGGACGCCCACGGAGTCACGCCAGCCTGCGCTCTGTGCCCGTCCTGCACAAGCAAGGGTAAAGGGGTCGAGGGGGCGGGCGGGACGCGGCGCGGCGGGCCAGGGGCTCCGGCTGGCCAGCTGCCTGCTCTGTGCCTCCCTTCCTTCCCTGGTGCCGGAGGGGGTTAGTGAAGTCTCTGGACTGAGACTTGCAGTCAGTGAGCACGCGATACGCGGAGGCCGCTGTGGGTAGTAGTAGTAGTATCTTATCTTTGCGACAGCCATGTGAAATAGGCGCTGTCGTTCCCATTTTACAGGTAAGAAATTGGAGGATCAGACTGACGAGTCCCTCATTTTACAGATGCATAAACTAAGGCTCAGAAACGGGGAAAATCTTTCCCAGGGTCACTGGTCAAAGCAGAGGGAGATCCGGAACTGGAAGTAGGCATCCTGACTCCAGCCAACAGACACCCTCCAAAGTAAAACCAGCAGTGCTGCCTTTTTCCCCCAAAACTGCTTTCTCAAAGTGCACACATCTTGGTGGGCTTGTCAAACCCAAAGACAGCTGGGGAAGAAAAGGAAGCTATCTCCCCCGAACAAAGAACACAACAACCAAGCCTGCAATTTGTGGCAGAGAAGTTCAGTTTGCTTCTTGGACATTTCTGAAATGACATACCTTTCTCCTCATTTATTTTAAGCCCTAGGCGTTTTTCATACCATGATTTAATCTTCTTTAGCAGCCTGGGAAAATACAAATCAATTACAGCCTAAAACCTATCAGGTAATCATTTTTTTCCTCTCTCCTTCCCTAGATCCAGAAGTGCCTGCACCCTGTACCTTTCATCTACACTAATTTGGCTGCAGAGCTCTTGTTCAAGGGATGATCACTTTGGATAGCTTATTACAGCTCCTCTCGTTGACATTCCTGGTATGCATGTCACAAGTTGCTAGGATCAAGAACCAAGTCAGTTTTGCTCTCAGGGCCACCAGCCAAGGTATCGCTGTATCCTTGGAGAACTTGGCAGTCTCAGGAATCCCCAAGAGGATGGCAGGGAGCTGGACTCAGCCCCCTAAATCCTAGTCCCTATTGCTTTGAGGTGGGTAATAGGGGAAGTCTAGTGGGAATGGGCGTGAGGCCCAGGGTGTAGCTAGTGGTTGAACCCTAGAAGGGGTCTGGCAATCTGACTGTCCCCACCCCCAGCCAGTCTGATTTGTAGCAAGTTTGTCTCCAAGGAACAGCAGGGAGGGAGCCAAAAGCCCAGACTAGAAAGGTAGGCTGCGGGAGGAGTCCAGGCTTGCCCATTTCCAGTTGCTCCATTTCAGCTTGTGAAATAACACGGCCTCTCATTTCTAGGCTGAGGGGATAACTCAAGGTAAAGCATGCCCAGGGCTTGCTTACTTAGAGCCCTGACCAACTGTTCTCATGAGGACAGGGTGAGCCAGGATCTAGGGCTGGAGCATGCCTGTCCTTTGCCCTGTACCACATCCACCCAAAGTCCCTCCTGCAGAGACTGTGCGACTTGCTTCTCCCACATGCCCACCAAGCAGTTTCATGTCATCACCTATGCCCTGACTGATCTCCCACTCTTTAACAGGTGGCTTCTTCCAGGGCAGGGGGCCTGTCCACTTTGGCCAGTGTCATAGAACTCTGTACCTGGACAGCATCTGGCAAAGTGAAGACCTAGCAAGCAAATGCCTGCCATGTTTTTACCCCCTTGGCTTAGAAGCCTCCAGTGGTTCTTCTGAACACCCAGCCTGACCCCAGGACAGGGCCTGTCTGCTGCCCTCTTCTGCAACTGCTCAGTCTTCCTGCATTCCCCACCCCTCAACCCAGCCCACAGTCCCACCTCTCCACCTCTCCTACCCCAGCAGCCCCTGCTTCTTTCCAGGTGCACACAGTTGTGGCAATCACCTGCCATCGCATGCAGAGTTTGATCCCAATAGTTCTAGTGGCTGCAATGATGGTATTATCATATTGCAGGCCCGGGGTCTACACCTACACCTGTCACCTCATCTGGTATTCATCCCAAGACTGGGCAGCTAATGCTGCTCTCTCCCTATGGCATGTTAGGACACTGAGGAGTAGCTTGCCTGAGGTCAGCCACAGGGGTGGAGCCAGGGCCATTTTAACCACTCTGACCACAGCACTGTGGGCAAAGGCCAGCCTGACTGGGTGCACTCTCTCCCCTGGAAACCCATTTCTGCATCACTGTGACTTTTCTAGGTCTTCCCTCTGAGTCATTTGCAAACCCCAGACTGGATTAGGGTGGGGCAGGTAAGCACTTGCCTTGGCACAGCACTTAAGGGGCGGCTGGGCTGTGGCTCAATAGCAGAGCACTTGCCCAGCATGTGTGAGGCACTGGGTTTGGTTCTCAGCGCCACATGTAAATAAATAAAATAAAGGTCCATCAACAACTTAATTGGCACCAAAAATCTCAATGATCAACGTTTTTTTTTTTTTTTTAAATATTTGTTTATTTATTTTTCGGTGGACACAACATCTTTGTTTGTATGTGGTGCTGAGGATCGAACCCGGGCCGCACGCAAGCCAGGCGAGCGCGCTACCACTTGAGCCACTTCCCCAGCCCCAATGATCAACGTTTTTAACAGTATTTTCTAAAAATCAAAAGTAATGTTAAAATCCATTTAGAATATCAAAAATTGAAGTAAAAGTCAGATACTATTAACTGAATTTTCCTTTTGCCACAGGCTCTAGTGTGGCGCGGCACTATCAATCCTGTTCTTCCTTAAAATTCTGTCATTTTGTTCTTTGTAGAATTTTGTGTTCATTTTTAATTTTTTGTGTTTTGTATTCACTTTAAAATTTTTTTTTGGTTGTTGTATTTTTTTATACCTTTATGTTATTTATTTATATATGGTGCTGGGGATCAAACCCAATGCCTCACACATGCCAGACAGTGCTCTACCACTCAGCCCCAGCCACAGCCACAGCCCTTATATTCACTTTTTAAAAAATATTTTTCTCTCGATTACTGATTTTTTTTGGTTCCCCCTCAAGTTTCGCAGGAGGCAGCTGACTCCTCCCTCACCCTAGTCCTAGTTGTGGTGAACCCAACTGCACAGGAAGCACCACAGAAGCCCAGTGTGCCCAGGTATGCCATCTCTGCCCCCTGGGAAGGGGGCCAAAGATATGGCAGGTGTTCAGTCAGCAGTGGGCCCCAGCCTCCCTGCCCTTCCTTCCCCACGTCAGACGCTGTGCCTGAGTATGGGGAGCTTGAGGGGAAGGAGGCTGCCTAGCCCTGGACAGGCCCACACCAGCCGCCAGGGGAGTGGTGGTCCTCCTGCTGTTGGCTGGCACTCTCCTGAACCTGCCTGTTCAGGGTTATGGGGCACGACTCTCAGGACCCTCAGCTGGCTCATCCCACTGAAGGGCTACCCCTCTCAAATTCTCTGGTTCACTGTGCCCATGGTCTGTGGAGACATCTTCTGGTCCGTCTGTGCTGCCATCTCCTCTTGCAGCAGAGATGTGCTCCCAACTCAAGCTCTCCTCATTGCTGAGGGTGCCGAGGGGGACAGGAAGGAATTCTTCCCACATCCATCCTGTCTTCACTCTTCCACTTGAGACCTGCCCATCCTTGCTGTGTTCCTGCCCCTTCCACTGGGGACACCTTGTCCCTACCTTGGAGCCGACTCCTCTGATCCCCACTCATGAGGCACAGCCAGATGTGGCAGGGGTAAGGATGTTGGTTAACCAGGACGTGTAGAGCCTGGGGTGTCTCTGGGCCTCCATTTCCCTCCTGGAAGTGAAGGGGAGTTGGCCTGCTGACCTTTCTAGCTCTAACAAACATTCCATAAATCTGCAACATTTTTCACATGCTCAGAAAAATTGAGGAGTCAGAGTATAGAACCCTCTGCCCTTTCTGCTCACAGGGGATTCTAGAAGCTCTTGGGCCACCTGTGTCCCACCGGGACCACCCTGTGGCACCATGGGTACAGTTAATGTTCCTAATCAGGGCCAGGTCTGCACATGACGTGGACTGAGGCCAGGGCCCCTGCCCAAGCGCAGAGCAGGGGGACTTGCAACTTATACTGAACAACCCAGCACGGACCCTTCCCAGCTAGCCCACTCTCCCACCTGCAGAGTGGCTGGCGTCTTAGTCATTTGGTCTTAACTGGTGTTCTGCTGGTTTTTCCTCCTATGGGCATACCCCTTGATTCCCGGGTTGTGTTGGTACCATAGGGAGGCCCTGGAGGCTGTGTATATGTGTGTGTGTGTAGACACTCGTAATTGCAGAAGCCAAGGAAGAGAGAAGCTGTCCTGAGAGAAGGAAGTCACATTGCATGGGAGACTGTCCCTGGACGAGGGTCAAGTTTAGCATGGTCATGGGTAACCTGGGAGATCCTGAGTGAGTTGTGTGGTCTCCTAGGACCCTGGTTACCTTCTCTGTAAAGCAGGGATCAAACAAACAGTCCCTGTGCCCCAGGGCTGTGGGGATAGGCTGAGCGGGTTGGGAATCTTTCTCTCCCGAGCCTCCCTCCCTCCCTCCCTCTGGGGCTGGCTCCTCGTTTCTGGCCCCTGGGGCCTCATGGCCCTCTTCCTCCCTGTAGATCTCTCCTATCCTGTAAGTGACCACAGAGGACAACCATGAATGAGGCCAAAGAGACCCTCCGTGGCATTGAGCAGAAGTACAAGCTGTTCCAACAGCAGCAGTTCACCTTCATCGCAGCTCTGGAGCACTGCAGGGAGAACGCACATGACAAGATCCGGCCCATCTCCAGCATCGAACAGGTGGCACCCGACAGGGCTGACCCTGGTCACAGGAGCCTCCCCAGCCCAGTCCCCACACCTGAAAGAGCCCAGGAAAGGGAAGCACATTTGTGCCTGAATTAGATTAGGACTCAGACCCTAACTGATGGAATAAGTTCCCCCCATTCCTCCCCTACCAGACTCATCCAGCCAAGGTCAAAGTCCACCTGCCACCTCTGTGACCTTGGGCCAGTGAGGTTACTTACCTCACTAAGCCTCAGTTTTCTCATATATTATGTGTATTCAGTGGAACCATCATGGAAAACTGCTGGCCCAAGTTTGGCCCCCAGTAAGCACTGGGGGCTGAGCAGTGGAGCTTTACTGGTGATCGAGATGGATATGGTCCTTGTCACCACATATTGCAGGGTACTGAGAAACTGCTAGTCACTTTTGCAAAAATCTTCCTTGAGGGTTAGCTGTTGTCCAAGTTTGCTCTGCAGGATTTGGAGGCCATCCATGACGTTAGGGGCCTGAGCCACAATGCAGCTAGGACCCCACCCACAGGCCAGGCCTGGACTGTAAAGAGGCCACTGTGAGGAAGCAAGCTTGCCAAAGCCCAGCTGCTTGTGAAGATGGTGGGGGTGGGTACCGGGCTCAGAACAGCTCAGGAGAAGCAGCCATAGAGAACAGGCAGCCCTTGCAGACAGAAAACATTGTTTCCCTGGTTTTTGTAAAACCCTTGTCCCACTTCCCCAATTTTTTAACTTGAAAAATGCTGAACATCCAGAAAGGAATAGCACACAACCTTTGCCAGACGCACTAGCTCTTGACCCTGAGCCCACCAGCTGATGACATGCCCCTGCACTGGCTCATGCACAAGCAGACAGGTCATCCCCCTGGAGCCTTTCTAAGGGCACCGGACAGATTTTCAGTCTCCAAGACTAGCTGGAGTCCCGTCTGCCTTGGCATCTGCCCCTGAGCTTCGTGACATGTGGGAGTGGCCTTCCTGCCTAGACTCATCAGAGGCTCCTATAAATCCTGTCCTTCGCTCTGATGCCCCATCTCAAGTGCTGGCTCTCAGCCCCACTAGCCCTCCCTGAGGCAGGCGTCCAAAGGCTGCCTGCACACACCCAGGCAGCCCAGTGACAGCTCTGTTGTGGCTACCACATGCTGTGGTGTCCATGCAGTTGTGGACAGGAGTCTCTCCCCTGACAAAGCTGGGGAGGAACCACTTCAGATCATTCAGGAAGACATCCCTTAGCGACAGGGAAGCTCTGTAGCCTGAGAAAGTTCCAGGTACTTGGGGAGGCAGTGATAACCTTCCCATCATCAGATCATGGTGAGAGTTAGTTGTGTATGGAATGAGTGATAAGTTAATGGGACCTAGACCCAACCCATTTCCTCCCCACAGGAGCTCAGGCCTCCTGCCCTGGCCCAGCCTCAGATGCAGTCACTGGGTGGTATCAGGTAACTGGAGAAAGACTCCCACCCAGGGAGGCCGCAGCCCCCTGCCAGCAAGGAAAAGTTGAAAGTAGATCAGAGGATCAATATTCTTAGCGGCCTTGTATGTCTTCTTCAAATACGTTCAAGTCTTATTTTTGGCATTTTAGCTCCTACCATTCCTAGAGTTGTTATTTGAATATGGGATGTGGTAGGAACATTTTTCTCATATGGATCACCCTGTCCCCAGCCTCATTCATTCACAAGCTGGGAGACACATTCAGCTAAGCCACTTCCACTGGTGTCCCAGCGGGTGATTTCACCTCTTTATCTCCAGTATTCAGGGTGTTAATCTATAAAAAATAAGGATTTTAAGAAGGTACCTACGCAGTGTGTAGGGTTTAGAGAAGAGTGAGATAGCATTTTGCATGGTGCCTGGGACACTTAGTGATGTTAGCTGTATGTTGTGGTCTGTATGTCAGAGTGCCTAAGTGTTACTGGTTTCTCCTAGTGAACCCGGGTGGCTGCTCCAGTGGGGGCCGGCACATCCCCAGCTCACATGAGACTGGCCTTTACAGGTGCAGAGCTACATGGAACACTACTGTAACAACTCCACAGACCGGCGGATCCTGCTCATGTTCCTGGACATCTGTTCAGAGCTGAACAGGCTCTGCCAGCACTTTGAGGCCATGCACTCTGGCACCCCAGTCACCAACAACATCCTTGACAAATGCAAAAGCTTGGTTAGCCAAAGCAATGACCTGAGCACCCTCAGAGCAAAGTAAGTCCCTTTGGGCCTTGGTGAGGCCTTGGTGTGTGCTGTGGAGGATCCCCAGGGGGACACTGAGCTGGTGCTCTCCCCTGTAGCTGTGCACAATTCCTTCGTGGCATGACTATCAATGAAGACCTATTTAAAACCAGGACATAGACACAGCAGGGCACCCAGGCAGCGTGTTTTTCCAGACACCACAGGGCAGTGGTTCTCAGCTCCCGACTTTCATAGCAGAAGCACCTGGGGCTCCTGGCCTTGACGTGCTGAGCTGGACCTGGTGGGGACACAGCCTTAGCACCAGGCCTGGAAGCTGCCAGCCAGTCCCCACAGCAAGGCTCACCATTCTCCCTCCTCTCCTGGCCTGCAGGTACCCTCACGATGTAGTGAACCATCTCAGCTGTGACGAGGCCAGGAACCACTATGGCGGTGTGGTCAGCCTCATCCCCATTGTCTTGGACCTTATGAAAGAGTGGATTGCCCACTCGGAGAAGCTGCCCCGCAAAGCGCTGCAGCACGTGAGTGAGCCCGCAGCATGTCAGAATGTCACCAGGGCAGCCGCTTGTCCTGCCCAGACCGCAGGCACCCAGCGTTGGTTAAGAAAGCACAAATGTAGGCAGCTGGAAAAAGACCGCCTCAAACCCAGGGGGCGAGACAAAGGACATTCCAAGCCTCCCTGGAGGCCGTCCGGTGGGAAACTGTAACTCAAGGCCAGGGGCCTGCTCCACGCTGGGTGCTCTGCTAACCAGTGTGGACTCCCCTGTGGATCCATTCCTGCTGGTGCTGGCACCCCTGCCGTTAACCCCAAAAGGGACAATACATCATTGAGAATCTCTCCTTCTCTTGCTTTCACTTGTAACTTTCCTGCTTCTAAGCTCTGTGCTGGTGAAGACGATCCCCACTTAATGAGTTGCCCAAACAGTACAGTGTTGCTAGAGGGTGTCCCAGGTGAGGGCACTGAGCCACACCCAGCAGCCATCCAGCTCCCTGCCCCAGCAGCCACAGGAAGCAGCACAGACTCTCTGCAGGACAGGGATGCTCCCACTCCCAGGATGGAGGGAGGGGCAGATGCTGAAGGAACGCCTCAGGGTTCAGTTCCCTGGACCAAAACAAAGGCAGTGAGCCCACCTCTCCAGAAGAATTCTGTCTGTGGTTCCTGAGCAAGGACCATGGCCTGATGATGTCCACAGCATAGTCGAGGCCCACACACTGTGTGATGCGTCTGCTTTGAGCTCTGATTGTTACTTTTTCCCTTCGCAGGGGACGACTTAGCTTCTGTATTGTTGCTTCCTCGGGGGCAGACAGTCAAGAATAAAAAATGTTCTACCACCTCTGCCTGGCTGGCTTGGTTTCCTGGGACTTCTCCCTGAAAGAAAACCTGCGTTTCTCCCAAGACCTCAAAAGATACTGGGAGGTAACCACACAGGCAAAGCCCCTCACAGACAGCAGAGAAACTGCTGCCACCAAGGGGACCCTGCCTCTAGAAAGGGCCTGACTCTGAGGTCCACACCAGGTAACAGAGGGCCAGTCCACAGACCTGCACCTTGTCTAGTAAGAGACTTCCTCAGGCAAGAAAACCTGAATTCCAGACAAATTAACAACCGCCACCTTCAAGTCCATCCCGAAGGTGCTGCTTCTGCCATGGGCAGCAGTTCTGACGTCCGGACAGCCGGGCGAGCACCTGAAAACCACTGTGACACAGCTTGCCATAAGGGTCCTTTCCTCAGCATCACAGGCCATGCTATCAGAAGTCAGGGCAGATCTTAAAATCTCATAGGGTGGTTTCCCACCTTCTGCAGAATGCCCAATGGGCATGAACCAGCTGGTGACAGCTATGCACCTTCTCCTGGCATATGTGCACACAGCTGGCAGGGATCAGGGCTGGTGAAATCTCCACAAAATGCATGTCCACCAGGTTCCACCAAAAGGATCCCATGAAACTCAACTGGCCACCCCTCCAGACACAGTTAGCAGGAGTGTGGACTGGCAGCCCCTGGCTCTCAGGGCTTCTCTGGTAGACATGACTCAACCCTTGACACACGCACACCATACCACTCTTTGAGAAAGACCAAAGATTTAAGGCAGGTACGTTATCAGTGAAGACAATCTTCCAGAACACAAAGGTGCTTAACAGAGACTAAAGCCTAAAGCCAGACCAATATTTGGGTGCCCTCCTCTAGCCACCCACGGTAACCACTCCAGACCCAAGGCTTCTGCATCTTTGAAGAGTCCCTACTTTACCTATAAGCCCAAGGCCAGTGTAAGTCACTCCATGTCACACAGCAGAGTAGTGCAAAACAATAAATTTTTATTTGTTCACAGTTAAACACAAGCAACTGCCTTGACATTTTAGAACATTCTAAGAAGGACAGCAAACCCTTTTGATTCCAATTCCCATTCACTGAGATTGTACCATGTTCTCTTGCAGTTCATGTTTATGGCATCTGATATGGATTGTTTTGACATGCTTTTAAGATCAAGGTGGGAAAGTTTAAACCTTTTGATGAGGGGACTTTCTTGCATTTAACTAAAAGCAGTCAGTTAAAAAAATCAGATTATTTTCATTCATGGGACCCCTTTAAAACTGCAAGTTAGCCTCATATGGTTCATCCATGATTGAGTTATAAAACTAGATTACGTCTTAGCAAAATCTGTTCCTCCGTAATGTAACTGGTCCATAGAAGTCTTCTGAAGATCGATCACTGATTCTTCCTAGTGCAAAATGCTTGGCTGCCTCTGATCAGCCAGAGTATGTGCTGCGCAGAGCCTGGGTGCACCCTCCTGCCCAAACACTGCACCAGGTGGGGAGGGGACGACGGGTGGGGGAAGGGTGTTTTGGGGTCCTTGAGCTCCTAAGTTCTGCTCCAAAAAACCTATTCCAATGACTAAACCAGCTAGCTTATCCCAAAGGGTGGCTAGTGTGGTGGCACTGGGCAGCGGCACAAAGCTCCTCGGCCCTCATGAACTCATTTAAATGAACACCAAAAGCAGCTGGGGCTCAGGTTTCCCTTGCATCTGCCAACAACCTTTCAGGTGAGCATGCACAGGTGGCAGGATGGTGTGGAAACAGCTTCCCTGGGCACACAGGGAGTCGCGGATAGGGAAAGGAACTGCCTGGGAACAAGGGTCTCAGCAGCAGCCTAGGAGCTAGTTCCTGACCTAAACTTCTCTTTTGGCTACAGAAAGAAGCTAAATCAAGTGCAATTAATGACTTTGCAGTGATCTGCTGGGAGGAGTGGGCACGCATCACCACTCAGGATGTAAACAAACGAACACCCTCAGACTGAACACGTTCTCTAACACTTTCTGTAAGTCAGTTCTACAGCATATGCCTCCAAGAGTGAAGCCACAGCAGGTGCCCAGTGTGCTCTGGTCACTGCACATGGTAACTGGCTCCCCTGCAAGGCAGACCCTCCTGAGTGGACCTGAGCTGCTCCTGGGACCACACCGGGAGAGTCCCTGCAAGGGCAGACAGCTCTCCACCTGCACTGCAGCATGGGCCTGACCTTGCCGGGCCCCAAATCCTCCTTCGCCTGCCCACACTGGCTCCCATGAGCTTCCTCATGGACTTTCTTTACTCTTCAGTTCTTGCTGGCTTCAAGTGGTAGGTTCTAGTATTTGGTGGAAATGACCATTGGCCACTCACAACACGCTTCTGTTGTCTACACAAAAACAAGTAACCAGTTTTCTTTCCTTAATGCCAGTCTAAGCTCTATGGTCCAGCTTACAGATTCTTGCATCCCATGACCAGGCATGCACCCTCTAAACAACTGCTGAAGTTTTATCTTTCTGGACAAAAAAGAGCTGGAAACTACACATTCTGTTGCAAATGGCCAGGGAGAGCCTAGTATGTGGACCCACTGTGCTGCTTTTACCCAAGGAGGTGCTGTCCTCTGGCCACAGCAGCAATGAGGTGGGGTGGGGGAGGCTGTTTTTAATTGTTAGTGGCTTCTTGGGCTTTCTTTTGGGTTGTGGCAGTATACCTTCTAAGAGTGTCGGCTGTTTCCCTTTAGTACATCACAGACAGTAGGAACTCTCTGCAGCTATTCCCAAAGGTCAGGCAGTCTTTCCAAAAACACTGTTGGCAAACCTGAACAGATTACTATGTGCCCACCTGCCTCAGTGATGCTGCTCTCAGCACTTACCTCTAATGACACCTCTTAAAACCTCTCCAGCTAAGAACAGACCCCAACCTCCTACCTCTGGGTTTCAGTTGGTTTCTTGATAGTTATAAGCATATTATTTCTCTGAATCCCACAGTACCAATTTTTGCAGACTTTATGATAGGGCCCTGTCACAAGCTTTTAAAAACCCATGAAGGTTCTTTCAGAGACGTGTGTGCTTATTTACAGTAGTGGGTTCAGGAGCTCATTTTTCTCTGCCCCTTCCTACTGCTCCTCTTGCCTCCCCCATCCCCAAATAATAGCACAGGATTCCCTTTTAAACAGATTCCACGCTGCATGAGATGCAGATTCTGGGCTGCTCAGGGCTGGTGCTGGGCTGGTTGGGGTCAGGAGGGAGTTCGTTCGAGTTATGGGTACTGGCCGTCAGCATAGCTCACAGTGATTTCCGGAAGGAGCCACCCAGTCCCAGACACCAGGAGCTCAGTCAGTGATGAGACAGGCTCTGCCGAGCATGCTCATCATTCCAATGCCTTTCCTTAGGCCTCAGCAGCCTCTCAGGAGTTCCTCTCCCTATTGCCTTTCATCATTAAACTGCTTGAGGTATCATCAAGTGACCCACTTGAACCCTTGCAAGGTTCACTACTTTCAAAACAAAAGCAAGTCTTGAACTAAATCTGGAGCCCTTTTCAACACCAAAGCCCAAGTTTTCAGGCTGGGTAACTTCACCAGGACCCCAGGACTCAATCTCCCATCTCTATACGTGTGAAACCCGTATAGAGCGGCCTCCTAGAACTCACAGGGGCCCAAGCCAGAGCACTGGGGTCCCTGGGCTATAAAGCTGGGAGATGGAACCTAGGCTGGAGGAATGGCACAGAAACTTGGAACCTTCAGCCACACCTCAGTCAACAGCCTCCTTCCTTCCCTACATTTACAATCCATATAACGTTCTTTCCCTTCTTACACAGGCCTCCTTTCCGGTGCCAGGTAAGGAAAGGCTGCAAATTAAGTGCCTGGTATCTTTGTTCTGTGGCACAGATTTAGTGGGCATGGGAAGGAGAAAGCACTGTAAACAGTTAACCTGTAACATCTTCCTGCCCTTTTTTAACTTGTTCATGTTTTCCTTGTATACAATGGAACAAGGAAACTAGAATATATTGGATTTTAAGCTTTCCTTTGGACAAAGCAGAATCGGAAATATGGAATCCCCCAGGACTCCACACTGGACAACCAGTGCTGAGGGCTGGCCTCTGCGGGGTGGCTAGCAGTCAGGGCATGCCCTTCTGTGGCTGAGGTCAGTCAGTTACACCAGAAACCCTGTTCCCAGCAGGTCTTTGGCCAGTATTGCCATGGTGACATGGAGTCTCTGCCTAGTTCTCTTTAGTTAGGGATACTAGAATATTTACTACTATACTTACAAAAAGACTTTCTCCCTCATGTGCTGGAAATTTCCACATGCCGTGAGATTTCGTACCATTACAGTTTAACTTCTTCACGACTGAACCCTTATATTCTTTTCATGGAAAGAACAGAAACAGAAACACCAAGTTCACTGGCTCCTTCCTGCCAAGTATCTCCTACCTGGACTGGGACGCCAGGAATGATCCTTAGGCGTCTAGCACTTCTTCAGAAGCATTTATTGAGCCTGGATGCTCGGCAGTGCTGGCGCTCTGACTTGTATGGCCCTCATGAGCACCTGCAGGCAGCCCACTCTGTACAGGCAGGCCGCCTCCAACACCACCCTGCCAGACTCAACTCTATGTTGCTCTGCCATTCCTAACCTGGAGAGGGTGACAATATCAGGCTCCCAGGAGAGCTGGCCCTGAAAGTTAGAATTTGTGTGAAAAAGCTGCTACCTTTGTGGTGGCCTGGAACCTACAGTAGTGTGGCAACCCCACAGCCCAAGAAATGTCACGTAAGCTGTGAAGAAAACTCTCTGGATCTCCAGAGCCTCTCTGCTGCAGTATTACCAAGTAGCCAGCAAACAAGAGACATGAATGAGCTCGGGGGGTGGCGGGGGGCCACCAGACCCAGGGCTGAACCAATAGCTCAGCTGGCAAGACCAGCCCAAAGGTGCAGCTCCACACACCTGAGCTTCCAGCAACCTCTCCCTGGGACCTCTCCTTGCACCCACAGAGAACAAGCTTATCAGCCACATGCCAGCCTGGGTCGGTGGGGTGCCACCATTCAAGCAAACACCAAATAAATAAGAGGTAGTGGGGAAAGAGGGACAAGAGCTTTCCCAAAGAGTGAGGAAGCAGAACCTCCACAGAGCCAACCAGACTTTGGAAACGGGCATTTGTCTACGCAGAACTTTCTAGGAAGTTTATCAGAACCGCCAAAAGAATGGAAGGGTGAATGAACCATGTTTTTCCAGATCTGCTACTTTAGATGCCGAACCTCAGAACCAAAAAGCAGTGAGAAGTCTCCCATAAGAGCTTTCCTGTGAAGTCAATCAGCTTTGCAAGGTACGTCTTCCTGGAAGGGACAAAACCAAACTTACCTGCAATGCCACCAACTGCCTGGTCTAACCAAGGGCCGCCCAGTTATCTGACTTCAGGAAAGCAGAGAGTGGTGTGTTAGACTCAAAGATGAAATTTGGCCTCATATTGCACAGGTTCAAAGGATGCAACCATTTGGGGGAAAAGGAAGGAAAATAAAGCTACTGAGGAACGCAAAATGGCCCTCCATTAGTACAGACTGCTGGGTGAATCAGAGAGGGTCAAGGGGAAGGCTAAGAGGCATTTCAAGGCCAGATCCAAAAACCGTTGTGCATTCAGTCAGGCGTCAAAAGGACCTCCGTCCCACTCCCACCACATGAGCAGCCACCCAGACCCTGGAAACAGGAAAGCCTTGAACGAGCATTCGCACCTCCTGTTCTTTGCCAACAAGACGCGAGTTAACACTGACTGACCCTCCTTAGCTGTGTTCGTGATGAGTCTCATTGTAGTCCATGATGCGAAGCTGACCAACACTGTCTGGGTTTGGGGGAGATGGATGCGGGCTGTCTAGGTTCAAGGGAGTCATGGCTTCCAAGCCCAAGTCTTTCCCCAGTTCTGTCTTTAGGGTCTCACAAAGGCTACTGATGGTCATGCCGTCCTCATCACACTGGCTCTCACTCTTATTACGAAATAACTCCCGGGCCTTCATGCCCAGGAAACTTTTGGAACTGGGGAGAGAGCCAACAGTCGTGGGGATGCTGGTGGAGGGCTCACCCGTGGCAGTTTCCCACCGGCTGCTGAATGGGCCTGCCCTCTGGCTTGGGGGTTTCTCCGGGGTAGAAAGCTCACTGCTACTGCTGCTGCTGCCTCCTGCTCCTCTACCTCCACTACTGCCCCGGGTACTGCCAGGCCTGGGAGTCTTGGTCTCTCCATTGTGGCCAGATGCCTCTTCATTGTGCCCTACCACGGAATCCGGGCAGCCATCATTACAACAGTCAAGCCTGTAAGAAATCCAGGAAGGAAAAAAGGAGTTGGTGACTGTGTCATCCACATTTGGGAGATGTGGAATTACTCCCACTGAATATGAACCCTGCTGGCCTGCTGTCTTACAACAGTGGACCCAAATAAGAGATCTCAAAGGGAAACCTAAGTCACAACCAGAGGTTCTGGGTGGCAATCTGCAACACAAACGGCAGATAGGGACTCAAGCCAGGAAGGTGGGAGGTCAACGGCACTGTGAGAAAAGGCAAGTCAGGGCGGCTCTCTGAGCCCTGTCCAACCAGCTGTAACTGCTACTGCCAATGCTCTGCAGCACTGCCTGCTAGTGGCAGCTTCATGGCAAGGCCAGGATACAATTCTTTCCTCCTACCTTTCTTCCGCTGCTTCAGCTGCTTCTGCCTTTTCCTCTTCAAGTTTTTTCAGGAGACCATCCTTTTCCAACCTGCCATACAAGTCTAAGATCTCCAACTCAAACACTCGGGTGATCTTTTTTTGAGCCTCATATCTGCTCTCTGCAGCCTCTAGCTGTCTTCTGAAAGACACAGACCCACCCGGAATATCGAAGACTCCCCTTAATAAGGAGCCACACTCGCCCTAACCCTTCCTATGAGGTACCTTGCCTGGGCCTTGACATCCTCCAAGTATTTCTTCTGTTCCAGAAGAAGGTGGTCTTTCTTGGCCAAATGAGATTCCAGTTCCAAAATCCGTTTCTGGGAGGTATCAAGTCTCTGATTCTGCTGGAGAACGTGGCTTCTGTTTTTTTCTAGTTCCTTCCGATAGGCAGTTTTCATCATTTCCACTTCCTAAAAAAAGGGACTGGAGTTATAGAAAATGAACAAGTCTTATCCATTTTGAGAAGGTGCTTTAGTATACTAATAGAAATACTAGAAACACAAACGAGTACAACTTTCTGAAAAGTAAGCTGGCTAGGATCAACTTAGCAACCCTTTCTTGAAATTTTTTCCTCAGGAAATCATTTGAAACATGAATACACATTTTATACAAAAATAATCACCACAGCTAATTTATAAGAGTAAGAAACTAGAAACATAGTAAACTCAGGGAAGTAAATGTCAGGAAGGCAGTTAAGCAAAATACATTTTGTATCTGTTTTTAGAAAGAGTACTATATCAGGACAAAAATAACAATGCACACTATAAACCTCTGTGGTGAACAGTACCCCCAATCATGCAAAATACATGTTCAAACACACCAAGTGAAATATGCCAATATTCACAGTGTGATTTCAGGTGAGGAGCATCACAGCCATTTACTTTCTTTTGTTTTTCTCCCTTCCCTAACACCACCCAGGCAAGCTGGAGAAGGCAACACCAGCAGGGCAATTCTGCTCACGTGGAGCAGCACGGCAAGCTGGGTCTCCTGACCACACTTCCTGGTGATGCTGTGTGGGTGACCTGCCTGCAGCTATACCCCTGAGTTAGCTGCTCTGGCCCCTCCAGAGAAGGAGAAAGCAGAAAAGAGTAGCTTTCTAAAGCCTGTGTTACGTTTGTGTGTGTTTACTGTGACAGTGAAGAGTACACAAAACCTGTTTTAAACTAAGGGCAAGGACGTAAATGCTCGTGAAGTCAGCCTCGGAGAAGTCCAGCAGGCCAACCTTCCAGGGTGCAGAGTGCAACAGACCAAAGCCCCAAAGCAGTTATCTTCCAGCCGCACTGAAGGGCACAGACCTTCAGCACAGGCTAGGGGAACACAGCTGACTTTAAAACGATGGCACAGTCAGCCTTCTGCAACCACGCGTTCAACCAGACACAAACTGAAAATGTCAAAAAAAAAAAAACAACAAAGTGTCTGTACTGAACACATATGGACTTTTTCTTGTCATTATCCCCTAAACAATTAGTTTGTCAACTATTTACAGAGTATTTACACTATATCATATATTGTAAATGATCTAGAGATGATGTGCATGGGTTATACACAGACACCATGCTTGAGTATCTGCAGGTTTGGGTCTCTATGGGGACCCTGGAACCAATCTCCCATGGATCCCAAGGAACAAATGTACTTATTTATGGATAATCATGAGATTTCTGATGAGTAAAATCCATGCACGCTCACCTCAGTAGGCTTCAGCAGCCCGAGCAGCCATTCCCCACCTGACTCAGACAGCTGCCCCCTTCCTTCACTGCCCTGAACAGGAACAACCCCAGTTCCTGGCTCAGAGGCAAATCCTGGCCAGCTCAAGGCAATGCCAGGGCAGTACTGAGTGCATGACTCAATCCTGGCCAACAAGGGCAACAGGGAGTATGGTACAGGGTTTCTAAGAAAGATTTCTGAAAACCCTATAGAAGAGACACTCTCCTCCTCAGAACATGGTGGTGTCTCCCCTGGACATCCGTGTGTCTGAAACCATGAATGCACCTAGTTAGAAAGCAAGGGTGATAGGAAAGCCCAGCTATGCAGAAAGATGGAAAGAGCCAGGCTCCTGATGTGCCAGAATCGTCAACTTGGCCAACCTAGAACTTACCAGCCTGGGACTTCATGTCAAGTGGGATAATAAATTCCTTCTGGTAAACCAGATTAGCTTGTTTTTGTGTGGTTTACAAGGGAAAGCATCCTGACTAGTACAATTTAAGATCATTATCCATTTTACGAAATGCAATGGGTCCCAAAATGGTAGGTAGCTGCTCAAGGTCCCAAAGAGTCGAAGACTGCTGTGCCCATCTACACTCTTCTGGAGAGACACCAAAAACATACTTTGGCCAGTTCTTTCAGAGGTTCTTTTAGGCCTGTTCCCCAAACTTTCTTCTCCCAAAGCCATTGTACCTCCAAAAGAAGTGATAGTTGGCTTCTAAAGAAAGTTTTACACTTAACATTCTTCCAGAGGGAGTCTAAATCTGAGGCTAAGAGGAGCTGAAATAAGGAAAAACTACTATGAAAATTACATATCTCCAACTCAAGGCTACTCTGTACATGTGGTCAAAAAAGACTCTACAAAGCACAAGCCCAAGAAATACTAAAGAGGAGGCCCACATGTGATGGAGAAGCTGGTGACAGAAAGCATCTGAGCATTTGCTATTAAAATTCTATTCCCAACACATTCACCAACATCACCCGAGGCTATTTATAAAGTGACATAAAACTGCCTGGACGTCACTGTGGAGGCACTAATTAATATCAGATCATCCTGTTGCCGGCCTTGTTGCTAGGACTGAACCACCATCTCAGAAATAAAATTCAACATGAAAAGAAAAGATGGCACGCACATGAGTGCACACCAGTACACACCCGCAGTCATGAGAGGTGTGTGCAACAGAACCAGTTCCCACCCTCTTCTCTCTCCTTCTCTCTGCAAGGGACAGAGGGAGAAGAGGGCCACGCCCTCAACCCTCCTCGGCAATTCCCTCAGGTGCTTTCACTTACAGTTACTCCATTTCAAAACGATCACAGGATAGCGGGGCAGTGCCGCACTGCTGGGCCGGGGTAAGGAAGGGGAGAACTCTTAGGATGGACAGCTGCCTGGGTCCAAAGAGCTTTTCCAAGTAAGATTTGGCTCCCCATACCTTGGTGGTGTCTGAGTGCTTGTTCTGCAGTTGTTCCAAGTACAGTTCGTTGACCTCCCCGAGCACCAACAGTTGCCTGTTCAAGAACTCCATCTGCTGCTGGACCGACTCGCTATTTGACAGCTAACCAAAACACATAAGCAAGCAAAGTAAAAAATATCTGACAACACAAACCAGCAACTGGATTGCACACAAGGGACCAGTTCCTGGCATCATGGTTGGTGGGGAAGAAGGCAGCCAAGGTCACCAAAATGGATGGAAACACACTTAAAAATTATGCTATGGAAAGGAGAAGAATCACAAACACACTACAGCAAAGTTGGTTGCCCACAGGATACCAGGAGCAGGCGGCCTGACACATGACCAGTAGGACAGGGCCAGTAGGTCTGTGGGACAAAGACTCTGGAAACTTGTCTGTTCTTGAGTGAACAATACACTGAGAGCTCACCAAATTCCCCAGTGTGATTTACATTTAAGTAAAGAAGGTACTGAGAAAGGGTTCCACGTATGTGGGGTAGCCCAGGGCTCAGTGGCTACTCTCTGTGAGGTGCAGGGCTGTCCATGCCATGGAGGATAACCCAGCAGCACCCGGCCTCTATAAACTAACAGTAGCACAAAAAATGTGTCCAAACATTGCCAGATGTCCCCTGGAAGGTGGAGAGGGACAGAACTGCTCCTGGTCCAATGCCTGTCAAAGACTCTCAAGCAGTGAATCCGAGTCTGTCCCACCTGGAGGAAGAGGGCTGGCAGACAGCTTCACAGGTCTACCTTGTTCCTTACCTTCTGGGAGACCTGGCTGAGCAGTAGCTCAGTGTGGCACACCTTGTTGTTGGCCTTCTTCAGCTGCACTCGCAGTTCTGCAATCATGTTCCTGCAGTCCTCAAGCTTCGTCTGCACAGAGAGACCAGCCTGGAGTTACAGTGACACAGGCAGGCCAGGCAGAACCAGAATACCCAGCTCCTTGGCTGGTCTCCTGGTTTTTGGCCATCAGCATTTGACTTAAGTTTTAAAAAAGTAAGTCACAGTTGATCTGAGTCCCTTACTACTTAATAGGAAAAACAAAAAACCTTAGATTTGGCAGTTCCCAAACTGTGTGGCAAAGAGCCCTGGGGCTGCACAGCAAGCACACCACATGCTGCATCAATGGTTTCCTTTTTGAGGGAAATGCAGTGACATCTGTGGGACATTGTGTGAAGTACTAACTAGCTGGAGGTGGTCAACACTGAGCCTCAGATGGTGCTATCCCCTACATATGATGCCTTGTCTCTGCAAAGCTGGGCTTTTGGTGGTTGCTGTAATAAAAAGCACCCTCAGAAACAACATGAAACAGGAGATGAGGGCTGGGGATGTGGCTCAAGCGGTAGCGTGCTCGCCTGGCACGCGTGCGGCCCGGGTTCGATCCTCAGCACCACATACAAACAAAGATGTTGTGTCCGCCGAAAACTAAAAAATAAATATTAAAAATTCTCTCTCTCTCTCTCTCTCCCCCTCCCTCTCTCGCTCTATCTTTAAAAAAAAAAAAAAAAAAAGAAACAGGAGATGTCACTGCCCCCTCAGATTCCAAGGTCCAGATGCTGCGTGGTGCCAAGAAGTGGACATGACCTTTGTAATTAGTTATTTAAAACAGAAATTTACAACACTTTAAAATGCATGTATATTATTTTCACACAGCTCTTAAATCATTAGGCCATCAATACTCACTGAGTTGGTTAGCGCTGCTTAATGAGTGGTCCGGACAAGTGTTTCTTTGGGCTAGAGGATCAGGACACTAAGGAAGGGAACCTCTGCCCTCAGTAAGAGCTACCTGATATGAAATCTATCTGTCATGACTCCAGAGAGCAAAGCATCCATCTCCATTAAGCTGAACCAGGTAACAACAATCAAGAAACACTTCCACCAACCTCTAGTTATGTTGACTTTGCTGGTGTTTCAGTTTATACCTGCAACTCCTGGCTCTGGTTGTAGAATTCTTCTCGGTCATGTTGCAGCTGTCTGATCTGACTGTGGAGCTGGGTTACCACAGTGTCACGCTGTTCCTGAAGCTGACTGTATCTGTCTTGTTCTTTCTGCAGACTCATCTTCCATATCTGGATGTCTTTCTCTTGTAACTTCAACTGATCTTTCTAGCAGAGATAAGAGATGTCATCATTTTAACTGCCGTCCAACCCGGGCAGCACTTCTCGAGTTTAACACAGGCTGCAAACACGCTGTGCCTACTCTGGATCTGTAATAGCAGACTTAAGAGTCTGAGGGTCCACTACTGCCATACTTGGCTTTAGGTGAAGATTTTTCAAATTTCACATTAGCAAATGGATTGTAAGTTGCTTAAGAAATTTTTCCCAGGGATCCACATCAACACAAACTTCCCACAAACAGGTCTGAACAACCAACGATGGCCTAAGACCTCTAACGCACAGTACTAAATTCACTAAAGTGCTGAACACTTACCTGGCACTTACACATGAGTGTGCCCAACACAAGGAAGGTACTTACTGAAATTTCTTTTAACCATCACAACTTAAAAAAGTAGATGCAGCTGCTATTATTTCTTAGTTATGGAACACATACATGTAGCAAGGCTTCAAGAGGCCCAAGTACTTCTCTAAGGTGGTAACTGGCAGACCCAACCCTCAAACTCCAGGTCTCACTGGCTTTACACCCACATCAGACAGCTGAAGGGGGATTGGTTTCACATCTGAAGAAATAACCATTTGACCCCTTATATTACCATAGCCAATTACCAACTACGAGCAAACACAAGAAGTCACTTGTCACCATGAATTCTGAAAACTTGAGGGAATTCTGAGATCTAGCCATTCATGACTGAACCTCAGAGACTAAGGGACCTGGCCCCAGCCTTCCCAGTGACAGGGCTGGGACTGAGGACTCTGAAGACAACTTGGCGGCTGCTGGTGGCACCCCTAGCCCCAGTCCCGCCTCCTCACCATGGCAGCATTGTGTTCCTCCAGAGCGGCAGCTCTGATCACCTTGCGCAGCAGCCTCCTGTTGCGGAGAGCATGCTGCTGCCTCTTAAAGCGCTCGTAGAGTAACTGGTTGTGCAGTAATAGCAACTGGTCTCGGAGGGTGCGGATCTCATCTGAAGGAGGAGAACCTGGTTTTAAAGCAGAGGGAAGTGGCCTTTTACACCTGGCTCCATCAAGTCCCTCCAAGGTGGGTTAGCTCAGAAACAGGCTTCTCTCAAAGACAAAGCATTCTGCAGTGACCACCTGGTCCTCAGTAATAGCCACTCTTAAGAAAGCGGCAAAGTATTTTCCACCTGTCCCCCCTAGAAAGAAATGCAAAGGCTGTACTTGCTGGAGGGGTATCTTTGAGAGCTTTCTTTTCCCCAAAAATGGGATCAGATCACATGAAGATGTTTCCACCTCCCTCTCTGCAGGGCACTCCTTCCCTGCTGTGCTCTCCCCTGGAGAACCCCCCCACCACCACCACCATTCACTTCACTTGGGCCTTCTTAGCAAAGCCTGGCCTGAGGCACTTTTTGCACTTCTATTCCCAAGGACATGGTATTTGCCACTTTTCAAAAGCAGGAAATACTGACTTGGGAACACTTGAGATTCTCTTTTGCCAAGCAGAGAGGCTGGCTGAAGCAGTACCAAGGGGAGATGGCTCCTAAAAGGCACCTCCTTCACAGGTGACAAGAAAGCAGGAACCAAGGGGGCTGGATGTCATGCTAAAGTAATAACTTTACCTCCAAAGTGGGTCCAATCGACAGACTTGCTGGGTAAGGACGACCTAGGAAGAAAATTTTGGAATAACCAAGTTACTTATCTAACAGAAAAAAACATATCTGCAATTTAACTGCAGCAAGGTTAGATCACTTCCTTGTGGTGAAAATCTACAATGGCCTAAGAAAGTCTTAAGCAGCAAGTCTGTAAGGGGTTGGAGAGGGCTCAGCAGATGGAATGGGCAGGCAGCTGCTGGCAGTACCAGGTCTAAGGAGGGGAGCCCAACTCTGACTTGGCTCCTCTGCTCAGGTGTGGGGTCCACCTTAGGTCACCTCTCCCAGCACACTAGGCAACAGAACCTGGAGGCTACTTTCATTCCTCTCCATGGAGATATATGTGAGTAGTTTTCCTCTGAGAAGCTACCATTGCCCAAGTTCAAGAAAAAAGCAGCTCAGTTCTATGAGCCTATTAACCAAATGTCATTTAGAGAGAAAGTTTAAGATTACAATCCTACTTGGAGCAGTGGCACATGCCTGTAATCCCAGAAGCTCGAGGCTGAGGCTGAGGCAGGAGGGATTTTGAGTTCAAAGCCAGCCTCAGAAACTCAGGGAGCCCTAAGCAACTCAGTGAGACCCTGTCTCTAAATAAAATATAAAAAAGGGCTGGGGATGTGGCTCAATGGTTAAGCACCCCTGGATTTAATTCCCAGCACCAAAAAAAAAACCTTAAAAAAATTTACAATTCCCATTGAATTCCCCTTTAGGATATTACCCAAAAGAAAGATAAAAAATAACATTCCCCAAGAACCTGTTTAAAAATGGCAGAGGATTCCAACTCTGGACAGGTTATTCCCTTATCCCTTTCCCAGACATCCTCTGAGGCGGGTAATGGAAGAAAGACGGAGGCAGCCTTGCAGATTTCTTTCTAAGAACCCTGGTGTGCCTCTGGCGGGCAGGCAGCAGGCCATCTGAACTTGTGTTTTCCCTATCTAATGAACTGTGCTACCCAAACAGAAAAAACAATAATCTGCAATTAGAGAGGGAAGAACTGCAACATATAGACCTACATTTTTTGAGATACCACAACCTCATTTTTAACCTCAAATTTTCAGACAGCAAATGTGAAAGTATTTGAGTATCCTCACAGAAGATTGGCACAAAATGGCCCATATATAAAAACACTTGTGAGGTGGAGAAGGCACACCTGGAGAAGGCAAGAGCCTGGAAGATCTGGTGGACACAGCAAAGCAGCTGCCTCCAATGGCAGGGAAGTGTGACTCCCCCCTCCCTCATGCTTCCTGTGTCTCTAACCTGCTGGCAGTTTCAACTTACTTGCTGAGCTCCCTGCCGTGTGCATCTGCTCCCTGCTGTATCAACCTATCCAGTACTTCCATTGGGGAGGTAGAGGGCACATAGTCTTCTTCAGGGTTTCCTTTTGCTTTCTTTAACAGCTCCTCGGTCTTTTTGCTGACAAAATGACAGGCAGTCTTTGGCAAGGCCACCTCAAAGAGATGATCATATGGGGGAGGCTGCCCACTTCCAAAGCCCACTCCCCTCCTAGGAGGAATTTTGCAAGGGCTGGGAGTGAGGATACTGGTCTCCAGAGAAGTCTGGCGCTCCCTGTCCCCAGCGGGGCTGGTGTTGGCACCACTGCGGGGCAGGTCTATGGGAGTAAAGGCTTGCTTTGGTGTGTCGGGCCCAAGCTTGTCCAGAGAGGAGTGTAAAGGCTCAGGGTTCATGCCAGATCCCTGAGTCCCAGAGGCTGCTGAATGTGTCTTCCGCTGAGAACCTGGTAGACTGTCTCGGTAGAAGGGAGAGTCAAAGCCCCCTCGAGGAACCATGGGCTCGGCTTCCACGGTAGCGATCTCAGAAAGTTCTTCAGATATTGCAGCTGAAGGAGGGCAGGAAACAAGGGAAGCTCTGGTAAACACTCAACTGGGGCCAGTCCATGCAGTTCAGTGCCAGAGCCACCCAGAGGGGCTGTCTAGTACCACACAAAGGGGCATAAAAAGTGGCATGCATGGCTTTACTTAGCATAGGTCCTAGAATAAAGCACCCACCTTTTACCCCAGAAGAAGAAAAACCAAACAAGCCAGTGAGTGTTGACTCTAGATCCCCTTCTGTGGCAGAAGGAGGGCTGAGTTCCATCATCTCACAGCAATTCCACATACGTTACCTTCTTCCTTGTCTTTTTCAATACTGTCTTCCTCAGAGGCCAGATCACCTAAAAACCCTGGAAGATCACTTAGAGTAACAGAACCTTTGTTGCCAGGTAGTTCTTCTGAAAAGAACCAGAGAAAACTCCAGTCAACGATCCACACGAATCCCTGCAAGTGCAAAGCTGCCTGGACTACACCATAATATGACTGCAGACCTGAGGAGGCTGGGGGTGAGCCTCTCCTGGAGCTACCGAAGGCTGAGGTATTCTAAATCATCTAATTAAAGGTACTAAAAATAACCCCACAGAAAACACAACCCTCAGGTCTTAATGTCCCTGGGAACAGATTAAAACCACGCAGTGTGACTAGCTCAAAACCCTCAGTGGCATTTCAGGGCAATTGCTTAAATGCTTTTTTGACTCTAACAGACTGGCTTTTGGAATTCACTACTGTCTTATTCTCCAGGCTTCAGCGCTCTCTGCTGTTCCAGAATGTCTATGTTTCTACCTAACTTTGCTTTTAAACATATATAAACCAATCCAAAGAAAGAAGCAAGGTCTATCATTACCCAGGGAATTTTACCTAATCCTCTGTCATTTGGAAGATGGTGCTGTCTGTGCAGACACGGCCTTGAAGAATCTGTTTTCTCCTCCTAAAAAAATCAGCATCATTTAATCATACAGGGAAAATGCAGCACACATGCTCCAGCACACTGAAGGGTGTTTAAGGTTTAGCCCAGTGGTTCTCAAACAGTTTGGTTTCAATCTATTTTTATATTCTTAAAAATACAGAATTCCAAGAGCTTCTGTTTACATTGTTAAATCCACCAACTGTCACTGTATTAAATTGAAACTGAGAAATTTTTTAAAATGTTATTAACTTAAAAATAACTAATCTAGTTGGGTGTGGTAACACACACACATGTAATCCCAGTAACACAGGAGGCCAAGAATGGAAGATCGCAAGTTTAAGGCCAGCCTGGGCAACTTAGCGAGGCCTTAAGCGGCTGAGTAATTAAAATAAAAAACGACTGGGAACGTGGGTCAGTGGTTAAGCCCTTCTGGTTCAATCTCCAGTATTAAAAAACAAATATATCTATAATATATTTGTTTGAAAAATAACAAAATTTCCCAAAACAGCAATAAATTTAGTAACAAGAGTAGAACTACTTTACATTTTTGCAATCTCTATTATCTAGCTTAATGAAAGACAGCTAGATTCTTGTATCTACTTCTGCATTAAATCTGCTGCAGAATATTATTTTTGGCTGAAGTACATGAAAAAAATCTGGTGCCCCATAGATATATAGCTGCAAACAATAAACACATATTACAGATTTGTCATATAGTTGTCAATAATCACCTTACTACACTAAAATCTGAAAAGTGTTAGTTTTTATAGTTACAATGTGAAATCTGAAGTTAGCTTTTCATACTGTGTCAAAATCCACTGGTCTACCTTGTATTCTGAAAGCACTTTTACCTATGTATGATTCTGCAACATCATAGGCTGGACACTTAGAAAACAAGTTATCGACTCTTCCAAGTGCTAAAACACTTCATTGTATATATATATTTTTAAAAATCTTTTTTAATCATTGATGGACCTTTATTTATGTGTACGTGGTGCTGAGAATCTAACCCAGTGCATCACGCATGCTAGGCAAGTGCACTACCCCTGAGCCACAACCCTAGCCCCTTACTGTATAATATTAAGGAATCAAAAACTTTAATGAAGCTTCCCAAGACTTTCTGATCTCATCACAGAAGTCTTGGGAAAGTCATGATGGCAGATATAGTTTCACAGCTTAATTTTTCCCTTGAAAGTCAATTTTATCACTGGCAAACATAAATGTCAGTGGTTTTTCTTGAAGTGACAGACTTGGTTCATTGTTTAGGAAACTGCCTGCCAAATATTCAAGTCTGAATCAGCTTGTCAGTCACCCATTCTTTCTAATAAAGCTCGTGCTCCACAGGAAAAGCTGCTCGGGCAGCTCCAACTGGAGCAACTGCACAAGGGCCCAAAGCCACCAGTGTCCTCTGAGTGCCATAAACATGCTTTGCACATATTTCCTATTTTGTTGCAAAGAATATTAAACGTATATATTCTCAAGGGCCCAGATTCACTAAAATTAGTAACTTTTACTGCTTAATGTAGAATATTCATAAGTTTTTTTATTTTTTTCTTTCCTGTTTTTAAACAATAATGCCTACTAGGCAGCTTGGAACCTGCTTCGATTTGTGCCAAGTGGCCACCACTTCACCCACCATTGTTTTTGTGCTATCATACAAACGCACACAGCAGGGAGGGCAAAGAACAGCTAGCATTAACATGAAAGCAGGCTGGACCCACTCAGTTCCCAAGAAGGGCTTCAGGATCCCAGGGCTCAGACCCACCACACTCTGGGTTGGAATTCTGTCTGGCATAATTAGGCTTCACAAAACAAGGCTTACAACCGAGTCACTGTGTTTGGGCAGAGGGACAGAGGACAAGCTGGCACGCACCTTCCTGGGTTGTGTAGCTGTGGCCTGGGGGGGTGAAATGTGCACATAGTCATCTGAATGGCAGGGTAGGGCTGGAGGAGGAGAGGTTGCTGGGGTTCCCAGAGGAGTTCCTTTTCCACCTGCTCAGAGACAAGGGCAAAATACACGCCAACATTGAGCCCAACTATTAGAAAACTGTTTTTTTCTTCTCAGCCTAACCAATGCTGCAAATGAAGCTACTATAGTTGACCTCCTAGGATCCAGATCTCTCTCTTTAATTTCACTTCACTTAATCTGAAAGCCCTAGAAGTTTGTGTTAATGTCAAAAAATTTACTATTGCAAAAATTCCCCAACTCACTATGAGATCTAAGAGAAAGCTCCTCTATCACAAAAGGCAAGCCCAAACCAACCAATCAAATACAAGAGAGACATACATACCAGTAGTACCAAAGACTTTACTGTAAGGGTGTGACAAATCAGGTGGGACATTTCCAGGAGACGTTGGAGGAGTGGTCATACCACAAATCATAGATGGGCTCCAAAGAGTAGCCTGGGAAGTAAACACAGCAGTCAGCAATGGTGAATGAACACTGTGTCCCACCACAAGGCTTACAACCCATGTGTGGTTTAAATTTAACCTCACTGGGAAAAGCATCTTGTTAAAGCTCTATCAGGACACAAATTACATTTTGCATATTTAGTCTCTGCAATGCCCAAGTAACAACAGTAACCTTCTCGGCTTATGTCAAGAGTCTTTATATGTGTTTCCAGAAATGCAGAGCATGACAACTGCACACTAAATTCTGACCAAAATGGTCAGCTTCACCAGAAGGCAGGGGAAAAACAGGCACACTGCTTGACACCATACTTGGGGTGGCTCAGGTAACAGCCGTGTCGATGGGGAACTCAGAGTCTGAGGTAGCTGCCCGGGCGTACTGAACAACGTCAGCCGAGAAGAGGAGCACGGGGTAGAAGTAGCACTCCCTAAAACCAAAGAAGAACACGGGGAGGAAGAGGCCTCAGGTCATTCCAATAAAACATGACAATCCTCTAGACCATCTGATCATACTCAACGCTCCATATCTGAAAAGTCTGAGGGGCTTCCCCACAGCCTTGGGGACAAAGTAAGAGCATTTAAAAGATTCTTTAAATGCTCTATGGAAGTGCAAGTCCAGGGAGGTCTGACGCTTGGTCAGGATAACAAAGAGGCACTCTGGCTGGCAGCTTCAGTGAGTGCAGCCTACACATCAAGCCCAGGTGTTCAATGGGAATCCAGCTCTCAGCTGTCCAGACTCATTCACACTGTGTCAGAGCTGCAGCCCCGCAGGTCTCACCCCACGGGCCTGGAAAGTGAGAGATTCCTTATGTGGAACTCAGAATCAGGCACTTGAACTCTTTCTTTGTTAATGCTGAGGACACACCACCAAGTTTGTGAGAGTACTATCAGGAAGAAGATCAAGGACTTGAAAGAGAAACCAATTAGAAGAAAATGGAAGTAAACTCTAATTTAAAACATTTGGGGAGAAGTTCCTAGGAAGTGAAGTAAGTGTTACTCTAAGAAAAGAACAAAAGATACATAAGGCTTTCTAGATAGAAAGCTGCAAAGCAGGTAAGTCCTAACATCCCTTTTTACCATAGCTATTCTGTGTGTCAACATAAGGGCTGGTGGTGACATCAGCAGAGCGATGAGGGAAGTGAGCGGAGAGCTGGTGAGACACAGCATAGCCATCTTCATATGAGGCTTCCGTAGGGTCCAGAGAGATTTTGGCACACTCTATCACAACATCGTGAGTTTCTAATTTCTTCCACCTAGAAAAGGTAATGAAAGTCAAAATAAAACAAATGGTATTCCATTCAATTACATCAAATACTTAAGAGGGCCAGCTCAGTGCCAGCCAGGGATTATGGTTAGCAAAGGATGATGCAGAACCAGGCTGGCTCAAGTACAAAGCAGTGCGAGAACACCAAGTTCTAGCTGTCCATCTTACAACCCATATCTTCCCTATTTAAAATGGTTACATAAAGTTAACAGAAGCTAATTTCAAAGAAAAATTTCATCATTAAAGACTAGGCACAGCCTCAAAATAATAAACCATGAAGAACAGTCACCAGGGGCAAAGGCAGCCAAGGCACAGGGAGAGCAGAAAAGCACAGGACAGCAGAGGCTGTCCTGGGGTCTCCCATAAGACTGGGGCCTCTTCTCACCCATCCCTGGGCCAGAAACACAGTATAGAGATACTCCCACTAGAGAGGGCATTTCAAGAACTGTCTGAGACTCCTGTTTATGGAGCCACAGTTTCACTTCTAGTACTTCGTCTCACAGAAGCAGGCAGACACCAAGATGTACAGCTTTGTTCAACACAGCTTGAAAAAGGGAAATAAGCCAAAGGACAACCAAGGGACTATATTATAAAGCAGAAATGTTAGCATACCACCATGAAAAGCAGGCTTAACAGATGAGAGGTTGCCAGGGATGGGTAAGAATACACAGGAGTTTCTGGGGCCATGGAATTGTACTTCATTGTGACTGACTTTTGTTAAAATGTAATTGATTAATTTTATTTTCTATAAATTATAAGCTATACTAAAGTTTAAGAATCAAGTCTTCAAATTTTAAATGACACAATGCTCAGAATATAATCTTAAATGAAAAAAAGGACACAAAACTATTCAAAGACATGCCCTAAAACAGATCTGATAGCATTAAGTATTTGAACTTTAAAAACCAGAGGCTGGACTATAGATCAGTGATAGAGCGCTTGCCTAGCATTCTCAAGGCCCTGGGTTCTATCCCCAGCAAAGTGCACATAAGAAAGAACTGGAGTTATAGATGATGTTCATTTTTCTCTTTCAAATCTTCAGTGTTTGCCAGATGTTCTACAAGGGCCCTAATGATTAAGAGAACATTTAAAATATAATACTGCTCAAGTATAAGTTTTCTTTCTTTTAGACAACATTGCTTTATAATTTAGAAAATCTATACCCAGCCAAGTTGCCTATCAGGGATGAGACACTTTTAGATGGGCAAGGACTCAAATTTATGTCCCATGTAGCTCTCAGCTGGCCCTGGGAGCACGACAACATATCTTCTATGAAATCAAGTATAAAATATAGGAGGAGGGGGACACAGACTCCAGGAAACTGGGACCTGATTTATGGTCATGGTCGAGGCAAAAGTCTAGATAACAGTTGTTTCCAAGTACTTAGTAACTCTAACCGGTATTCTCATTTTCTGTCCCAAAATTTACAGGAAGAAGCTAACAACACTAAGAGCGCTCTGTGGGCTCACGTGTACTCCACACTACGGTTACAGAATGCTCCTTAAATCTTACAAGTTGAAAAAGTAGTATTAAACATAGATGAGAGTGTCCAGGACATAAGGAACCCAGTCCGCTTCCCTACGGAGCAGCAAGCTTTTCCCCATCGCAGGGCTGGATCTTTGGGCGCTCCTCGGGCTCTCACTGCCTGAACTCTACTGTCATAGACTCCCTTTCGTGAACCCTCAGCATGCCTGCAAGGTGATTAACTGAGAGAGTGAGTCAGGATGCATATGTATACATGAGAAGATTGATTTCAGAGAAGAAAATGAGAATCATAATAAAGAAGGAATACATTTAAATGTTTTATTTTAATTAAAGTGATATATCACTATATTTCCTTGATTCTAGAATGAACTATTCATACTTTAATATCTCTGAAATTAAATGCTATAATTTGATCAGGTGTGTATTATTTGGCATTTTTTTTCTCAGATTTACCTAAAATATAAGTACATCATACATTCAGTGACACCTTAGACTCAATGAAATGTGGTAGTTTTAAAGAGTTGGTACAGTCCTAAAGTTTCCTCCCACACCACGCTGACAACCACTCTGGCTGCTGCTTCTAATTCATTAGTTGAACCATTCTCCCGCCTCCAAGTTCCTTAGAACATGCCCTTGGCTTCTCCTTTCTTGATTTATGAATTTTAGACCTCATCTATTAACTTCCTGTTACAGGTGAAGACTGAAGTCACTGCCATATCTCTCTTCCTTCCTTCCCAATGCTCTCAAAATATTTTTTTTTTCCAAAATCAATTTCAATAATTATTAAGACAATATAAATACTATTTGCAGCTCAGGCTAAGAGACCACTGTGATACATTTACTTTCTCATTTGGTTTGGCCTGGAGTTGAGTTTTTTCTATTTTTTTTCCCTCAGTTTTCTATGAGGAATTCTATCTATGATGAATTTCTATCATGAACTCTTCCTAAATTTATTCAAGCTGCTCTGAAACAATCCCTAATGTAATTTTTTTCATAATGAAATATAAATATCTATGAGGATTAGTTGGCCCCAGCAGAACTCCCTTTTGGAGGCCCTTCTCCCAGTCTGCAGGGTCACCATCCTCACCTATTGTGCAGCTGTCATCCTGACACTTGTCTTGACTATGCCCCCAAGTCAGGTCCTCAAGTTTCCTCAACTGTCCTCTTCCTTGATTTTACTCTCAGTTTGGTAGAAGACATTCTCCTGGGGCTGAATGAGGCTAAATGGGAGGAAATTTAAGTCCCTGCGCCTGCCTATCTAAAAATGTCTCATCCCTGATAGGGTATAGAATCCTAGATCAAAAAATCTTTTTCTTTTACTTTTGAAGGGTTTCAGAAGCTAACACCATTCTGATTTCCAATCTTACTTAAATGTTTTAGCCTTTTTCTTTCAGAAAAAAGGTTTATTATTAAGAAAGGTTTATTTCTGGCTTTTGTTTGTTTTGTGTTTGGTGCTGGGGCCTGAACCAAGGGCCTCATAGATGTTATATAAGTGTATACTCTAATATTTTGAAATTCCACTAACTTGAAATTGGTGGAATTGTTCTGCATTAAAGGGGCTGTGCACAAAGTAAGCCCCTTCAATCTGGAAGCTCATGTCCTTCAATTCTAAGGAATGTTTCTACATTATTATTTCTATTACAATTTTTTATTCTACCAAGTTTTCTCCTCTCTTAACTCTTTTTTTTTTTTGGTCATAGAGATTTTAATAGATTTTCTGATTAACTCATCACAGTAATCATTTCTACTGTAATGATATGCAGCTAAAAATATGGAACGCTTCACGAATTTGCGTGTCATCCTTGCGCAGGGGCCATGCTAATCTTCTCTGTATCATTCCAATTTTAGTATATGTGCTGCTGAAGGGAGCACTCCTCTCTTAACTCTTATTATTGATACTGGCCTGCACTCACCATTCTAACTTTCTTCCAGAGATACACCTATTTCTACTCTTTGCTCAGCTTTCTGAGATATTCTCAACTTCATCTTTTAATTCTTTTATTGAAGTATTACTTTGGCCATCCTTCTAATTTTTTTTTTCAATTTTAAAACTTTTTTTTTTTTTTTTAGTTGTATAGGGACACAAGGCCTTCACTTTATTTATTTTTAGGTGGTGCTGAGGATCGAAACCAGTGCCTCATGCAAGGCTGGTGCTCTACCACTGGCTACAGCCCCAGCCCATCCTTTTTCATTTTTAAGGCTCTTTCTTTGGTCTCAAAATAGTGTTTTTCCGCAGCACCTTGGTATTTACGATGTCTGTACACAAATACTCTCTCTCTGAAGTTACAGAGGACACCCTGTCTGCTCCCTGTGTCACCAGTACTTCCAGCTCCCCTTTCTGTGTTGGTCTGTCTTCCCACAGAACCTTTCTTCCAAAGTCAGATGGCCTGCGGGACCTGTTGAGCAAGGTGCTCTGAGCTGGCTAAAGAAGCCTCCAAGTTAACTGACTTGGTTGACTGATGTTTGCCTTCCAAGTTAACATGGCTGACTGATGTAGGACCTTCCAAAGCCCACTGTCTACAGTAAAGATTATTTATTTTCAAATATACACCCACAGGGAAGTAGATGGGGGAAGGGAGAAAGCACCACAGTGTCTGAACAAGAGCAGAAGGCAAGTGGCAACTGGTAGCAAATCTAAGGAAGCCAGGTGCTAAGCTACCAATGCTTTGAAGATACAGTTAGTTGACTTACACTGCGAAACTCTAAGATACCGAACAACTTATGGCACCCAGCCTTAATGAGTGGCAAGCAGATGAGGACCCTAGGCAGCCATAGTTGGAGCCACTAGAGGAGCACCAAGCATCCTAAAGTCCCTTCCCAATTCTACACTCACAAGCAATGGCTATTTTCTCACCAGAAATCTGGATTATTCTCTGGAGGGAATAAAAATAAGGAGTTTCTGGGTGAAGTATTATAGAGAAGTTGAGGGCATGATCACATTCCAGACACGTGGACCAAGTGAGCTCACACATCCTGAATGCCCAGGCCAATCAAGTCCCTCCACGCCAACAGCTTCCCTCAGTGGTGGCCAGACCCTATGAGCCCAGCGATCAGAAGACTCTTCTAAAAATCTGAGCAGCTTAAGGAAAACAATAGTACTGCTGTCAAAATCTCTGCCAGGTGCTCAGATCAACACAAAACAAAGTGCAAGGTCAACGAGTTCCATTCCATGAGCACAATTTTTTTTAAGTGTTCCTATCCAAAGATAAGCAGATCACCAAATCCTTGCAGAAAACCTCCAAGATTTAAAAAGAACAAAACAAAGCAAAAAAGAAAGCAGCTTAGAAGACTATGCAGAGAACAGACTATTCAGGGAAAACAAAACAAAAATACTGTCAACATTCTTGAAGGCAAGAGATTGCATCTATGAAACAAACGTAGGCTACTATAAAAAGAAGCCCTCTGAGAACTAAAAAGAACTCTTAGTACAAATGTGGTGGTAGAAATGCCGGCTGTAAGAGTAGGACTACAAGCCAAACACAGGAAATCAACAGGAAGTGGAATAAAAAGAAAAAAAAGGAAAAAAGAAAAGAAAAGCAGAGCAACACTCCAAGAGGTCCTGATCTCCATAGCAGCAGTTTTAGAAGGAAAGACAATCAGGGAAAGGAAACCAAACACAAAGTTTCCTAGAGCTTAAAGAGCTTCTGGGTTGGACAATGAGAATAGAATTTCACCAACGTGCATCATAGAAAAACCTTCACACATTGTGCCAAAAAGCCAGTGATCTCCTAGCTCCCAGAAGAAAAACAGCATGCACAGAGCACTGAAATGAAATGCCTTTGGATTTCCACAGCAAGCTTGGCAGCAGGAAGGCAATGGTACTGCCTCCAACCATTGAAGGAGACCAACTCTGGCCTGGGTGTCTCCACCAAGTCAAACGATGGCATCCTTCCTCAAATGCCACCAGAGAATACTTTCCATCGGAACCCAAGGAAACCAAGAAAGAAGCCATGGATGTGCTGCTCTGGAGAAAGGCAAGGCCAAGCCCTAGGAAAACAGGCTGATAGTTGGGCACCAGGCACAGGGGACAACCAGCTCGGTTCAGAACAAACTGCCAAGAGATGGGCACACTATAGGCCATCACCAAGGCCCTTTGTTTTTTGCAGTGTTGGGGATCCCACTTGGGGTTTCACTGCATGCTAAGGAAGCACTCTACCACTGAGACACATCCTCAGCCCTCACCACGGTTCTCACTGCCCTGCACTACCCTTTTAGCCAAGAGACACAACCAGGTGACCCTGGTCTAGATAACTAGTCTTCTAATAGTTCAGAGGCTGCTGAAGTTCCACTCTCTCTCCTCTGCCATATCAGCAAAGGACATTCACTTTACCCCATAGATGGATCCTGCTTTGAACTACTCCAGAGAGTTGAAAGTAGACACCTTCCTTCGCCTTATTTTAGCAGCATGTCTAACAGCCAGCACCCACTGAAGGCCTGGCTAGATGCTCTGAGGTAGCTCTTAGCTTCCCAGGCCTCACTTGTGGCCTGTGACCTTGTGGCAATGATGTCCCTGAAGGCACTGCTATTCTTCCAAGGATGGTGAAGCCAGACCAATACCAGACACTGCTCCTGCCCTTGTCCCTGGGGACCTGCCCCTGATAGTGACAAGACTTCCTTAGCTAGGATTGGTTTCCTAATCAGCTTTACAGAACAAAACAATATATGCAGAACTATAAAGACAAAAATGAGAGAAGAACATAAAAGCAAGAGTAATAAGGTCAACAAGGAACAGGGAGGAAGAGAGTCTCATGATAGGCTCCTAACATATTGGAAAAGTTCTATTTTTAAAGCTGGGTACTGGCTACCTGTATATGTCTGTTATTATTAAATTTTGCATATACATTTTCTGCACTTCTCTACATATAACGTACCTCACAGTAAGTTGTTTTAAGCTGATAGGGTGTGACAGAGGCAGGGTTGGTTGAGAGGTGAGACCTGCTGTAGGAGGATCAGAAAACAAGCCATGTTTCTCATCTCAGTAAGAGACCCCAAAGTCCATATCTGTGGCTCAGTTTCCCCAACAGGGGAGCACAAGCCAGGCTGCCAGCGAGGAGCTTTTTCAGCTCAGCACACCACATTTCCTTCATTTTCAGTGTTAACAGAGCTCCACTTACACCAGGCCTGGTATCCTCAAATCAGGAGCTTTGCAGGTAGGTTCAGTACCTGCAGAGAACAAACCTGGCAACTCCTACAGGGCCCCACAGAGGGTGGAAGACAGCTGGTTACGCCAGATGGAAAAAGGTCTCAGGAAGGCTCAACGTGTGAAATATAGCCATTCTCAACCCACGTGCTCTCAGCCACCTGCCCTACACAGTCACCAGCACCACCAAGAGCTAAGCTTTCCAGGAGTCCTGGGGACAGGCACCTGCACTGCAACCTCCCCTACTCTGCTAGTGGAATTACTTACTTTCTGTGAGGAATATGCTTTAAACTCATATAAAGTTCCAGCTGTATAAAGTTCTTTCAATCAATTGATAGAATGATTCTGTGAGTCAAACATCTGTATTCTTCAATAATACCTCCATGGGACATCTCTTAGAACAGAAGCAATCTCAAGAGATTCTTAAACATTCTGTCACTAGTTTCTATACCTTCGAGGGTCCAGTTCATGGTCCTTGGATCCAGTCACTAATTCTGGGTGAATTCGCACATGCTCCATCATTGGCTAGAAAAATGGGGTATACAAATTATAGGAGTGAATTTTTGTAGCATGTCCACACAATGGAATATTCTTTGACAATAAAATGGAATGAAATGCTGATACATGTTACAATATTGATGAGTCTTCATACATGTTAAGTAACAGAAGCCAGGCACAGAGGTACACACATTATATAATTCCATTTCTATGACATGTCCAGAATAGAAAGTCTTCATCATAAAGATGAAAAATTAGTGGCTTCTAAGGGATGGGGAGGGGGTTTTGGAGGAAGGCTGAATTTCTTTTCAAAACTTCTACCATTTATACAGAAGTTACAAATGTAGCCCATTCTGAATAATGCACTCAGTATCAAATAAATGAACAGTATTAAGTTACCTTGACCACTTCTTCAAAAGTCTCCAAGTTTTCCTTCATACTGTAGTGTGAACGCAGAAAGGAGACAAAGTTGCAAGGGTACATTCCATAAAGGCGATGAAAAAGGGCATAAACACTAGCATGGAGATGGACAAGGTAGATTTCTGTCACGTGGCCTAAGAAGAAAATCAACAAGATTGACACAAGACTGACACGTGCAAAACAGACAGGCACGCTTCCTCCCACCTTGCTCCAAGAACATGTCACAATGTTTTCCTCAAACGCAGACCTGAACACAGACACCCGCTTTCAAATCCATCAATGGCTCTGTACATACAGCCTCGTGATAAACTCCAATCTACTCAGTGTGACCCAGGAAGACTCTCACTGACCTAATCTCTGTCCTCTGCTCCAGCCATCCCCCAAAACACTCTCACAAGGCTGAACTACCTTTATAATGACACTCAACCTCCCTGTGATTTATAATTACACTCTCCACTGCTCGGGTCAGCACGTTTCTTGAGGAAAGGACTATCCTACTCACCTCTCTATCCCCAGTGTCTTGGACTGTGCTTGGCACGTAATAAACATTCAAGTGTTTGTGGAACAAACATATGAGAACCTTTTGAAATCAGGATGTAGGCTTAGCAGATTTATAACTAAAGAGTGAAAAAGAAAAAAAACTATTATCCAGAAATTAGCTTAAACTGTTCGGTGTGGGAGAAACTGACTGAAACCCCAGTTCCTCCACAGCAATGGACAAACTGCGCTCTCCCAGCAAAGATCCTACTAGACATGCTGGCATCGCCTGTGCCTATGCCTGCTGCTCAATCCTGTCTAGAAGGACAACGCACTCACTCACAAAATGACTCTGACGCTGGGATTACAAACAATATGAAGTTTCACAGGCTCACAGCTCCTGGATCAGTTTGGTAGAGCTGTGCTACTGCCAATGTGGGGAAAATGAAAACCAAAGCATTTGAAACTCCAATGCTACTTAGGGCCTATTGCTTCTTCCCCCTCCCTCTATACATACACAAGGAATAGGCTCTCAGAACCAAAGTCTGTGTGTTGGTACAAAAATAGGAGAGTAAGACAAAAATTGTCCCACAAGCTAGGCTGTATCTGCAACCACAGAGATGGATGGTGTGTTTCCATGTAACTGAGAAATCAGGAAGTCTGACATCCTGCCACTGTTTCTCTGACAACTAATCTTTCCAAGCCAAAAATGTAAGGAAGGCATCTCACCAGCCATGCCTCTCACGTGTGCCTGTAGACGACAGACCCAGGTATTTCCTCATCTGTCCAGTGGACACCACTCACTTCAGCCATAAAATTTCACACATCCTTCCCTTACAGCACATGAACTGTTGATCAGCAGGAAAGCAGCATTCACCTGGTAGAGCCTGACAGGGATATAGAGCTCTGTACCTGGTTTCTTCAGGCACCATGACGAAAGACGGCCAAAAATGTCAAAGAAATCAAGAAGGTGCTGCTTCCCTGACTGTGGAATCATTGGCAGCATGGTGATCAACACCAAGACGCCTGTTGTGAGGACGACGACATCAGTGTCCATCTACAAAGGAAAAAGACAACACCTGTCAGGTGCAGTGCACACTCAGCACCATGTCATGTGAAGAGGTTCTCAATACCAAGGGTCATAAATCAGACGTTCCTCACACACTCATTTCCAAACCCTAAGGATCAAGTACTGAGCCTTAGCTATACTGTGATGAATCTGGGAGGACCATTTCCAATACCCCACACTTCCTCATCCAGAAGATGAGCTGAACGTGTTCTGGGGACTACCAAGTCGTAACCTCTCAGAATACCCTACTTGCAGCACCTGGATGGAAGTACAAGAAGGCATGTTTTAACAGAACACAGCAATATTGCTCTGTTTTCATCCATTCAACCAAACTCTAAGATGATTTTGTCAGGTTAAGCTAATTTAAAAAAACACTACACACTGGCAAGTAATTTGCTGAGGTTTTTTTTGGGGGGGGTGGGTGGGTGGGTGGCAGTACTGGGGCTGGAACACAGGGCCTCATGCATGATACACTACTACTGAGTCCAAACCCCCAGCCCAATTCACTGTTGTTGTTTTAAGAACTATTACAGAAGCATAATTGAAGAAATCAGAATAGCACTAAGAAGTCAAGTTAATGGCTCACCTTCGTAGCAGTATTTAGAGACCCACAAACAAATCTCTGACCATGCTTTTGGTTTAAGGATCAAGTCAAATAACTTCAGGCTAACTGAGTACACTTAATACCCAATGGATAATAAATCAGCTCAGATTTGCTACAGCAGCTCACCTGACCCATAATTAAATCATGGATGTTGCTGAGTAACTGAAATTAAGGTTTATAAAATAAGACATTAATTAAGAGAATGCCATGAGGGCTAAGACATCTATTATTCCTATTAGAAAAGGAATCTACAATGCTAGAAATAAAGTTTTAAATATATTTAATTTTTACATTAAGCACCAAGGCTTCTGTTGTAGCAGATATCCAGTAGAAAGAATATATGGTAGATGAGAAACACATAATGAGAATATAATGAGAAAACATAATGAGTTCCAGCAAAAAGAACTAACCCTAATTCATTTACATAACATTCTAACTGAAGACCTAGATAAAAGGTCTTGATTAATACTCAAGGCTTGCCTTTCTGGAAAAGATAAATGTTTTGCAATCTGAACTAAATGTTGTGCGTCAAAAGTGGATTAATTTCTCATCAATCCATTTGCTCAAAGAATACAAAGTTATTAAAACTGATTAAGAGCTGGGGATGTAGCTCAATTAATTGGCAGAGTGTTTGCCTAGCATACACAAAGCCCTGGGTTCAATACCCAGCAGCACCGTAAATAAATACATAAACAACTGCCCTTGCTTTTTCTTAACCCAAATAGAAGACCCTGCCAATGTGACTCTTTGGGTCCTATCTCAAGGGATAATAAAATAGACACAAAAATCAACATTCATGGTGCTGTATCCAAGGAACACAAAGGTACTGTATCCCAGAACAACACTACTGGGCACACCATGTCTCTGTGAGGCACTGTCAGACAATGTTAACCACAAATTCTTAATTTTACAGTTAAGAAACAAGTCTAAGAACTAAACAGATTAAGACGACAGCAAGTATTTCAGCAAGCCACTGTAAAAACTAAAATCATAAAATCTAAATAGGTTTTTGGCTCTTAATGAAGAAAAATGTTCTTCATTTAGTGCAAAAAAAAAAAAAAGCCACTCTGTAGGACTTACATTAACAAAATCTTAATTGTGGCTGCTACCAAAACATGCCTCTCTATAGTTAAAAGGAACTTTAAGCCATTTTCTATCAGCAAAAGGGGATTTGCAGCCTGTTTTTAACTGAGGGAGGCTAGATAATGCTGAGATCAAGAAGTATGCAGTAACATAATGCTAGCGCCATCTGAATGAAACTTTACTTCACTACTTAGACAAAAGGTATTTAATGTCCATAGTGATGTAGTTGAGAATTACCAATGACAAACTCTGCTAAAAGAAAAAAACCAAGAAATACTACAAGTTTTTAAATCCTGAAATTAACATCAAGCTTGCTTGTGTGAAGTCAGTCACCATTTCAGAGACAGTATTTATAATGTCATCTCATTTAAATCCTTACCAACACCCTACCTTGAGACATTTCAGTAAAGAAGGCAAAAGAGGTGCTTGAGAGAGTTTATGCTTCCAAGACGGCTGTAGTCGCACGACATGCCCCAGCAACGACAGGATGGATAAACGGGTGGCAGCTTTGCCCACGTACTCATTAATTTTGTCCAAGAGGTGCTGAAAAGAACAAAGGACATCCTCACATAAACAAATGAAGTTAACCCAAACACAGGCAGTAACGATGGAGTCCACTCCCTCAAGTCTTTCCTCTGGTGTAAACTGGTAAAGAGATCAAATCCAAGATTTTCAAAACCATGTGAGGAAAAAAAAAAAAAAAAAAAGCGAGAAAGAAAGAAAGAAAGAAAAAAGTTGTGTTTGGCCTGTGAGAAAACAGTCAGTTTGCACACTCCTCAGTGACCCTTCAGTGAGAAAGGATCCCCACAATACAGAGCTGTAAGGGGTCAGTGGTTCCTCTGTGGTCTCTTGCTCCACTCTTATAAGAACCACTGACCCAGGCTGCAGCCATGAAGGATCTGGCAGGATGTAACTGCTGCAACATCCCGCACACATACTTTGGCCCTAAACATAAGTCAGACATTAGGGAAAGTTACCACACAGCTCAGGGTAAAGGAAAAAAAAAATGTATTGTAAAAGGCACACATTGGCAAGGTCCTCAAATTCCAGAGCAGTCATTCTCACACACAAACTCAAGACTTACCGAAGTCTGCAATTACAATGCTTTGTTAGCTATTTAACACAAACAGAAATAAAAGCAAAAGGCAAACATAATGAAGCCCTCTAAGAGCCTGGTGCTAGAAAGCAGGATTCATTAATCAGCCATATCAATTACCTGCACCTAGGGATTTTCCCATATTGATAAAAGCCTAAAAATTCTACTCAAAGCATGGGCTTAAAGATGAACCCCCTACAGGCCAAGAGATCACTATGCAGTACTGTACCAGAATTGTGATGTTTCTTTAACCCATTATGTACCCTTGCTCCTCAATTTTATAGGCATATAACCAATATACATATGCGTGTGTGTGTGTGTGTCTGTGTGTGTGTGTATTCCTATATAAAGGATGCTAGAACATCCAGGGTTAAATAAAAAAGATCTTTAAAAAACTCTGAAATAGATTTTATTCTGCAAACTTCTCAGGAAACAAAATTATTTTTCTTTATAGTCATAACCTGGGAATAATGTCCCTCGTGGCATACAGAAGTTGCAGGAAGCAGCTCTGGACACACTGTGGCGTGGATTTGCAGAGAAGCTGTTACATGACTCTTCAAGACACATGCAATGCCCTCCTACCACATTTCAGCAGTTACCTTATCATGTGGCTCTTGCAAGGTAGTAAGGATGTGCAACGCTGGCTGAGAACTGGTTTCCAGGTAATAGTCCACCAAGGTGTTTACAAGCATGGGACCACGGTCTAAATACAGAAAGGGGTAATTTATAACACTTACTTCCTTTAACATTATAATTTATTTCAATGCTGGCTGGTATAAAATCCAGGTGTTTCTTTATATGCTACTCAGAGTTTCATGAAGCATTGTATTTGGGCCTCTCTAAATTCATTAGGATTTAACAATGAGGTAATTCCAAACTTATTTGCCTAAATATCCTAAAAGCATTATGAAATGCTACCATTTACTTTTTATTATTTTTTTAATCTGTGACTATTGGTAAAATTAGGACTGTATAAAATACATAAAAAATAAACATATTAAACAAAAAGTATGCAAAATTAAAGTAAAAGTCCCCTCACCACCCACCCTACCCGACTCTTTACATGAATACCCTTAAGTTCAGCTTCCCTGCTTGTATCTTCACTCGCATATCCACATAGACATGTCTGTGTATCTGTTTTCTTCCCCTTAACAACATATCACAGGCACCTTTCTGTGATGGCACCCATGGCCTGCCTATCTCATCTTTTGACTGAGTTGCCATTGCTCCATTGCACAATAATTAATTTAACCCTTCATCTACCAAAGGATACTTGGGCTCTCCAATTTTTCACCATATTTCACTCAAGGCAATAATGCAGATTCTTGGAGATGGGCCAAATGGTATGTGTTTTCAATTTGACTGACATATATTACAAAAAGACTAACAAGCCAGGCACGGTGGCACATGCCTATAATCCCAGAGGCTTGGGAGGCTGAAGCAGGAGGATCATGAGTTCAAAGCCAGCCTTAGCAAAAAGGAGGCACTAAGCAACTCAGTGAGACCCTGTCTCTCAATAAAATACAATAGGGCTGAGGATGTGGCTCAGTGGTAGAATTCAATCTCCAGTACCCACCCCCGCAAAAAAGGCTGAACAATTTATATTCCTACTATATAACAGTGCCCATTTCTCAAATCAATGTTAGACTTTTGTCAACCTGGTAAGCAAAAAAGGGTTCTGCTTACATTTTTTAACTAATTAAAGAGAGATTGAACACTTATTAAAAACTACACATGAGGGGCTGGGGTTGTGGCTCAGCGGAAGAGCACTTGCCTAGCACATGTGGGGCCTTGGATTCAATTCTCAGCACCACATAGAAATAAAATAAAGGTATTATGTCCAACTACAACTAACACAAAATATTAAAAATAAAAATAAAATTACACACGATTTACTCTGCCTAGATTTTGCTTTTAAATTCTCAGGGTACAGGAAGTTAGAGGGAGGTAAGATGAAATAAAAATGGCAAAAAATGTGAAGCTGTGTTCATGGAATTCACCGTACTGTGCGCACTTCTTTGTGTGTATATCTGAGTGTTTGTGTAACTAAAAGTTTAAAGCACTTACCGCATGAACTAACCAACGTGTGCCCTCTTCTGGTGGCTCTAAGAACACCCTTAAAAGGCTGAAAACTTCTATTTGTCAGCCAGACTCATCTTTTCTTGTGAGCAGACAAATTAAAAATTATGTTCCCTAGCTTACCAGAATTGAGGTTCTCTTTAAAGACAGCTGTCACATCATCACGTACGCCCAGGGTAGGGGAATCCAGCATGGAAAGCAGCTCCCCGACATTTGCTGGCTGGGCCATTCTCTCACTTGACTGTGTTGTGCTGGCTCCAGGACGTGCATTAAAGGCTTGGACGGCTCTTCATTTAGGGCTGCTACCAGACTGCATGAAAAAAGAAGATGGATGGTGTGACAAATGTCCCCATTTTCCTCACAACAAACCACCTGCAAGACAAATCAGCACATGGGTTCAATGTAGTGAAAAGTTTGGCCAGAACTCTGAATAACTCTGCCTCTGACAGATGTATGAAGCAAGGAGAGCTCTATGGAATGCATCAGAGAGGAGCCTAAGACAAGATACCATTCACAACTGTCACTGCAGCAAATGAACACTAGGCTTTATGCCTACCTCTGATTCTACCTTGGATTCTGGCTGAGGCTGTGTTTGTGCTTCAAATGGATCTAAAAAGTAGACAAAAAGTTTCCACAAAAAGAACTATAAGCATTCTACTCTCTTGGTGACCCTCCCAACAATGTCTAAAAGTTAGAATAGCTGGTTAGGCCACACTTTGGTTACCCAACACCCGCTGTGAGCAGGGGTCATTTCTGTTTCACCACACACTCTTCATCACAGACATCTATTCTATACTCAAAGGCTCACAGACAGACCATCAGAGCAAACCATGAAAGCTCAGCTCTTCACAAAAGGGGAGCAACTGCCTTATCTTTATGTACAAAAAGCAGCTCATTCCCCAAGTGTTCCTATACACATTTAGGGCTGATTTCCGCTGCCAAGTTAGGTCTCTAAAACTTATTTTTGGAAAGGAATGAGACATTTATAAGACAGGATCTATGTGCCTTTTACAACCATCTCTTTATGCTACTACAGGGTGACTGGCACTTCTGTCAGCATGGTACAGGAAGGGAAACAGACATCAAGCCCTTTGCTCAGGGTCACAGAGCAAGGAAGAGGCAAAATCAGGCAAGACCTAATATTTGAACCCAGATCTGACTCCAAAGTCCCAATAAGCCCTAAATGTGACATCAGATTAACTTATGATTTTGATCATCACTGCAACTATGAGGTAAGCAGGAATTGCCTTTATTTTACAAATGAGAATATGGCTATCCAAAAAAGGCTAAATAATTTTACCAAAGTCAGACAGTAACATTTAACTTCAATAGTCCAACTCCCAAATCAATGATTAGCGATGCCCTTTGCAGCCATATAAAAACATTTTCTTATCTGCTTTCCTTTCAGTTAGGTAATACAGCAGTTCCAAAGCTGCAGGATGCATCAAATCTACCAGGGATGCATATTAGAAATGTAATGTTCTGGGACCATTCCAAAATGGAACTGGGGGCTCAATCATCTATACTTTCCTAAGGACCCCAGGTGATGCTTAAGGAGGTGATATTCAGGCCTGTTTGAGAAACACTATGCTAAAGAAAGACCCAGCTAAACAGTTAAGCTTCATCTGCAAGGATGCCGAACTAGCAGGGCCCCAAGAAACTGTCAGGTATTAACTCAGTGTGCTCTCACTTAATTAGAATCCAGTGACACTCACTGATTTGGCTATTGGTGAGTCAAAAGATTCATTGGAAAAATCAAGTGAAATGCATAAATGCATTTCTGAAAGCAAATCATAAATACAGGAAGTTGCTGGCTCATACCCAAAAGTATAAATCTTACAGTTAAATCACAAAGGAAGTCAACTTCAAAGTGCTCAGAAATATGGGACCACAACTGGCAAGACTCTACTGTGAAAGTACAAAACTGAAAATAGAAAAGAATGTCATCTTATTGTGAACTGGATTACATCTACAAATGAGGACAAGGCCAACCTATCAAGCCTCACCACTCACTAAGGACTAAGCAAGTGAGGGTGCACAGGTGGGGCACAGTACCTGCTGCGCTCTCAGTCACCAGCACTGCATGTCATCATGAAAATCACCAGTCAAAAGCTTTGGGTCGCCACTTTCAAGATAGCCTTTTAAGAGCACATTTCTCTAGCCATATTTATTTCTACTTTGGATAAATCACAAATGATTCTCAATTAGTGATAAAGAATACAGTTCATAAATCTGAAAGTTATCCTGCCCCCTGGTTTGGTTTTATTCCAATAAAATTGCTACTTACCTACTCTAAGTCTAGTGAGATTTTTGTGTTTGCCTTCTGAGTGTTCAAAAGACAACAATGTCAGATCTGGTCTTCCCAATGCAGGCTGCTCCTGAGCACAGAGTGACAGGAGCTCAATTTTAAACAAAGATGGCAACCATCCAGCCAAAGTGCTGAGAGTCAGGGCTAAACGGCTTAGGGACCTAGCTGGTTTTTCAGTTTTTAACTGTAATTTAGGTGAAAAGTCTGTTTTGGGCAGTTTTCTCTTTGCAAATGGTTTATAGAATGCAAAAATAAGGTTTTACTCTGAAACACATTAGGATATTTTTGGCAACAAGATTTTTCTCCTTGGTTCTCAACTTTTTACCCATATTTTTTAATCCCCAGGAAAAAGACAAATCTTAGGCTTTTTGTGAGACCCTTTGTATATGTAACCTCAGTTCAAGCATTTCTGATATTCTAAAAATCCCCCAAGAGTTAAATTATAAGCTTTGGAATCAGTCCCAAAATTGGAACATTTCTTTTTAAACTTACTCAAATACTTCTCAGGGCATACTAACCTTCAGGTGTGAAGCATGGAAGGCAGACTTAGCGAGTGCAAGAACTACATGCTCTAGTGGAACAACGCATAGGTTCAGTGGGGACACAGAGGAGGGAAGGGAGCAGCTCAGCTGGACACGGTGTTGCATACTTGCTAAACACACCTTATAGCCTGTGGAGAGCTGGCACCACAGACACACTGAAGCACCCACTACAAACAGCGATACAAAGTTGGGTTTCAGGGGTGCAACTTTGGGGTTTATATATTGTCCTTGGCTCCTTGCATTCTCTTTCTCTGCTTCCTGACTACCATGAGCTGAGTGAGTAGCTTTCCTCTGACTCGCCCTTCCACCCTGTTGTCTCACTCAGGCCCAGAACAGTGGAGTCGGGCGACCATGGACTAAGACACCTGAAACTGTGAGCCCAAAATAAGTTTTTCCTTCTTCAAGTTGTTCTTTTCAGGTAATTTGGTCACAGCAATGAAAACTAACACACACTACTCTCCAGTGTCTAATCCTGACCTTTTCAAACACATTAAAACTGGTCCTTGCTCAGGGCCTTTGCACTTCGTGTTCTATATCTGGAATGCTCTCCTCTCATATCCTTGTATAGCTAACTCAGGTCTCTGCTTAAAAGGTCAGCATTTCAGAATCACCTCTGTTGACAGCCTGATCTTAAACAGCTATTAGTTACAATGTTGGAATAAAATATACTTTCTAATCATGAGGAATCTTTTAAAAATTGTTATATTACACATACTAATTGTACCAAATGATGGGTTTCACTGTGGCATTTCCATACACGCACAAGGAGCTTTGATCATGCTCCTCCTTTTCCTCCCTTTTCCACCCACTCTATCCCCAGCAAGACCAATATTCCCTCTTTTGTTTCCACACGAGAGAAAACATGCAATATTTATCTTCTTAGGTCTGGCTTATTTCACTTATCATTATGTCTTCCAGCTCCATCTATTTCCATGCAAATGGCAGAATTTCATTCTTTATGGCTGAATACCCCATTGTATATATACACATGCCATTTTTTAATCCATTCATCTGCTGATGGGCACCTGGGATGATTCCATATCTTGGCTACTGTAATGACGCCACAATAAACACCAGTACATAGGTGTCTCTTTCGTATGCTGAGTTCACTCCTTCAGATATGTACCCAGGAGAGTTACAGCTGAGTCACACAGTAGTTCTATGTTTAGTTTTGAGGAACCTCCATACTGTTTTCCATAGTGGCTATACTGATTTACATTCCCACAACCAGTGTGGGAGTTCCTTTTCCTCCACAACCTCACAAGCATTCACTAATGTTTTTCAATAACAGCCATTCTAAGATACAATCTCAATGTAGTTTTGATTTGCATTTCTCTGACGGCTAAAGATATTGAGCATTTTTTCATATAATTATTGGCCATGTGTAAATTCTCAAGTTTCTATCCAGATCATTTGCCCACATATTAATAGACTGTTTTGTTTTGGCTAAGTTTTTTGTATATTCTGGATGCTAATCCTGTCAGATGAATTACTGGCATTCTGTGGGTTGTCCCCTTCCTCTGCTAATGATTTGTGATGCAGCTTTTTAATCTGAGGTAATCCCATTCATCAATACTTATTTTTGCTTCCTGGGCTACTGGAATCCCAATCCTGCCTACACCAGGATCTTGCAGTGTTGCCTGCTTTCCTCTAGAAGTTTTAAAGATTCAGATCTTACATTAAGCTCTTTAACCCACTCTGCGCTGACTTTTGCACAGGGTGAAAGTGAGGCGGCTTCAGTCTTCCACGCTTGCATGCCGTTTCCCAGCACCCTTTGTTACAGAGGCTCTCCTTTCTCTAATGTATATTTTATATTTTTGGCATCTCTTCATCTCAAGAATCAACTGGCTAAAGATGAATGGATTTCTTGGTCTATTGTTCTGTTCACTATCCTAAAAGTCTGTATTTATGCTAATATCATGCTGTTTTATCACTACAGCTCTGGAGTTAGTTTTGAAATCAGGTATAGTGCTGCCTCCAGCATTGTTCCTTTTACTCAGGATGACCTTAGCTACTTAAGGTCTTTTCAGTTTCCATAGGAATTTTAGGACTTTTTTCCCCCTAGTTTTGTGCAGAAAGTCGCTGATATTTTGACAGGAATTGCACTGAATCTGCAGATCACATTGGGTAGTTTTAACATTATTAATTCTCTTAATCCATGAATATAAGCCATCTTTGTACCTTTGAATGTCTTCTTTAATTTCTTCAGTGCTTTGTAATTTCATTGTAGAGGTTTTTCACATCTTTAGATTTATTTCTAGGTATCATGCATGTGCACGTGCACGCGCACGCGTCTCTGTGTGTGTGTGGGGGGGTATAATGTGAACGTGACTGCTTTCCTAACTTCTTAGCAAGTTTGTAACTGGTATATAGAAAAGTTACTGATTTTTTAATGTTGAGTTTATGTCCTGATACTTTACTGAAATTGTTTATCAGTTCTAAAAGTCTTTTGGTGGAGTC